CTGTCATTTCTCTTTGCTTATTTGAGCTGTTCTTGCCATAATATGGACTTGGTCTTTTACCAAATAGGGCTATCTTCTGTATACCACCCCCCTACCTTGTCACAACACAACTGATGGGCTCAAACGCATTAAGAAGGAAATAAATTCCACAAATAAACTTTTAACAAGGCACACCTGTCAACTGAAATGCATTCCAGGTGACTACCTCATTAAGCTGGTTGAGAGAATGCCAAGAGTGTGCAAAGCTGTCATCGAGGCAAAGGGTGGCTATTTGATTTGTTTAACACTTTTTGGGTTACTACATGATTCCTTATGTATTTCATAGTTTTGATGTCTTCACTATTATTCTACAATGTAGAAACTAGTAAAAATAAAGACAAATGAATAGGTGTTCTAAAACTTGACCGGTAGTGTATATATTATGCTCAGTGAGCTGTGCCTCAACAGTAATACAACACATTATATATTAACTGTGGTAATCATATACCAAAATGATGTAAATATAATTTCTAATTGGTCTGAGAAGAACAACATTGGCAGGGCAATTCAAGCATAGTGATAATGTATTGGGCCTATAGCCTACTGCACAAATATCATTGCTACAGTACTGTTTTTAATAGGTTAATGTTGCATAGGCTTACGTTATGTCATGTTTAAAAAAAAATCTGAGTGGTAGATCTCAGAAATCTCAGAAAGTGATCTTGACTCAGAAAAGGTTGGGGAACCTCTATACCAGGCGGTGTCAGAGGAAGGCCCTCAAAATTGTCAAAGACTCCAGCCACCCTAGTCATAGACTGTTCTCTCTGCTACCGCACGGCAAGCGGTACCGGAGTGCCAAGTCTAGGTCCAAAAGACTTCTCAACAGCTTCTACCCCCAAGCCATAAGACTCCTGAACAGCTAATCATGGCTACCCGGAATATTTGCACTGCCCCCCCACCCCATCCTTTTTACGCTGCTGCTACTCTGTTAAGTATTTATGCATAGTCACTTTAACTCTACCCACATGTACATATTACCTCAACTACCTCAACTAGCCGGTGCCCCTGCACATTGACTCTGCAACGGTACCCCCCTGTATATATAGCCTCCCTACTGTGACTTTATTTTACTTCTGCTCTTTTTTTTCTCAACACTTTTTTTGTTGTTGTTTAATTTTTTCTTTTTTTGTTTAAAATAAATGCACTGTTGGTTAAGGGCTGTAAGTAAGCATTTCACTGTAATGTCTGCACCTGTTGTATTCGGCGCATGTGACCAATAACATTTGATTTGATTTGATTTGATTTGATTTGAAACACTGGAAATACATGTTTTCACAATTAGAGGGTATAGGCCTACTTTTCCATGACAATATCCTAAATCCAAATCCTAAAAATCTGAAACTCCAGTAAAAAGGTCTACCACAGCTATGTTACCGAGGAATAACTACTTTGAGCAGAGAGAACATTATGATTGAGAAAAATCTAATGCATACCAAAGTTCGGTGCAAAACCCGCACATCAGCAGTTCTAGAGTCATCCACATCTAGACCCCACTAGGATATTTAGGAATGACATTTATTTTCAAAATTGCTTTTTCTAACACACATTCTACAACTCAGTAGGAATTAGGAAACATATCTTCAACCTAGGTTCTGATCAGCTGTTTTCCTGCACTCTGCCAAATGGCATCTTTGTCCTGTTATTGACTGTTGTGACATAATTGGGGAAGTCCACTTTGCCTAATATTCAATTATGTTTATTATTGTCTTTGTATTGGTAAATATTAATACTTATGGCCTACATATTTACTGGAAATACATTTAAATGATTCCTGTTTTTACATTTACATTTTCGTCATTTAGCAGACGCTCTTATCCAGAGCGACTTACAAATTGGTGCATGCAATGTTTATATTTGAGAGACATACCTGTTGCGAGGTTTGAGTATAATTTACCCCTGTTATTGGACCAAATGGTATTGTCCAGAGAATACATTGGCAAGTTCAATCATATGGAGTCTGTTTTAGCAGCTTGGTCTCATAGACTAGATGTAACATAGTAAATGTAAATCCGGGTCACTCAATTAGTATGATATGTTACATTTGGTATGGTTACATAAGACAGAAGGTTACTTAAGGCAAAAACGAAAGGAGGGTGGTTGGTCAGGGTGTATGGGTGGGTGTATAACGTGAACGTCTAGCAACCCAAAGGTTGCGTGTTCGAATCTCATCACTGACAACTTTAGCTAATTTGCAACTTACTACTTTGTTTCTACTTTGCAACTACTTAGCATGTTAGCTAACCCTTCCCCTTTAACCTAACTCCTAACCCTTACCTTAACCCTAACCTCTAACCCCTAGCCTACCTAACATTAGCCACCTAGCTAACATTAGCATTAGCCACCCAGCCAACTAGCTAATATTAGCCACAACAAATTGGAATTTGTAACAAATCATATGTATTGCACATTCGTAACATATTGTACAAATTGCAATTCGTAACATAGCATACAAATTGTAATTCGTAACATATATGAAATGGATGATGGCCATCCACAAATTAATACATACCTTACGAAACATAACATATCATACTAAATAGAGGGAGACACATTTACATTTACTATGTTAAATCCAGGTTGGTTTTAGGCTGTGGAACAGCTGCTATAGGCCTAATTAAAGCACAATACTGCTGTGAGCTTTGCGTGCCGCTTTCTAGAATGTCATTTAGCTCTTCAAGGATCTCGTTATGTTTATTCAGCTGAGACTTTTTGGTTTTGTGTACATAGTTTTGTATTTTCTTAATTTCTTCACTGTACATTCTGTGCTTCAGTCGGCCTATGGACATTCAAGACAATATATAAAAGAGACAAGTCACCTTAAATTAATAGTTAACTAAACTTTTATTGTTCCTTTTATGTCCAGCCAATTGGAGAGTCCAGTTTCAGCCCTCTCAACATGTGCGATTCAGATTCAGTACAGTAGGAGTACAGCACTGAACATACAGCCAAAACACTGCTGCTGTATCAACAACGGTGATGTCATCAAAGCCCAACCCATCTTACTGTAATGCATAAGACTGACCGCAGGACTGACCAGTAGGGCCTACTGAACTTGAATGAGTGAGATTCCTTTAGTCAGTTTAGTTTTTTTCTGTAAAACCTTAACCCCCATTAGGATGAAAGAATTTTGGGAATCGTCCAATTGGGATTTCTGGAAAAGCTGGGAATTGTGGGAAAGTTTCAAAAGAATTGAAACCCTGCCCTTCATTGACTTCCCCTTGAGATGACTGGCTTGATGAGGCAACTAATGCACATGTTAGGCTTATCTATAGAATGTGCAGTATGTATACATAACACACAGTCTCTGACATAAAGGGATGTCACTCATAATGGAATGGTTTATTATTATTTACCACAAAGGCATGTTGAGTTCATATGAAGCTGATAGGAAGTTGCCTGTATGTATGATGAGTTGATTCATTGCAATGTATGGATGGAGCTTCTTTACCATATAGGCATACAATTACTTTCCAATGCCATGCATGTTCGGATATAGTAATAGCAACTGCTTCCTTCCAAATATCAAAGTTCAAGGCATTCATGCATTTGGCAACTCTTTCAATGATTTGTCGCATGAGGGGAAACCGGGAAAAGCACTTTGGTAGGTGTTTTGTTGATATAGTCACAATGTATGCAGAAGCATAGCTCTGGTCCAGGGCGCTACCTGAGCATAGCGTAGCAAGCCACTCGAACACCCTGGACCAGATCTAGTAAAAGCATGTCTAGCATCACTCTGTCGCACTGAACATGTACTCAGGGAGAAGAAAAAAATAAAATGCAGCATTTTTACACTTCTTGCAGTAAATAATAGTAATAAACCACTACTGTTTAAGCAGTCATAATGATGAACAACAACACCAATTGATAATGCGTACTGTATATATCTCTGATAACATGTAACTCTCATGTTGTTAATAAAAATACAAATGAATGTTGCAAACATAGTAGGACAAATGTATGAGCTTTGGATGACTATGACACAGATATTGAAAGTTTGTTTTGTTTATCTTTAGTTGTACCAGTTTATGGACCATGATACACAATAATAGTATAACTGTTATAGGAGCTAGGCAGGTTGTGTTATGTATAATACCATTTAAATAGCCATTCAAGATTCAAACAGACATTGCACGGTTACTGACTGAACTGAGTGAGAGTCACTGCATCACTGTTGATAGTGACACTCACACTTGAGACATTGATTAAAAAGGGCTGAAACATTAAAAATACAAAATAAATGAGACATTAAAAAGATTAAACAAAATGCCAACATTCTTTACAAAGCACCAGCATGTAGTCTACCATTAAGGTCTGATACAGTCAATACAAAACCTTTTTGTGCTCAATGTACTCTCTCATGGGATAATCAAACCATATAAATACAATCCTTGTAACAGAAAAAAAGAAGGGAAAATATCCATTCTATAATTCTATTTATATGATTCCAAACTCAGTGTAGTTATATGGTTATTGGACACTCTTACAACGCTGGACACATATTATGGCAAAGCGATGGTCACAGGACAGTTATATACACCACTGTCACACATTGTTTATGTCATGTTATACAACGGCTGGGTCTAATCCTGAATGCTGATTGGTTAAAACCGCATTCCATCTGGTGTCTATTCCACAAGTTACCACCGGCTAAATCTATGACGTTAAAATGCCTATTTAGTCTGTTCCATCTGACTGCGAAATCCACTGTCTCATCAGCCCAGCCAAGCAATTTATACACTTGATCTCCACTATAAAAAGCATCTAGACATTATCTCACATTTCTTTTAGATTAACATTTAGTTTTCAACAGCGGAGATTTGAATAAACCCTACTGTCTGTCTCTCCAATATTTGCAACATTGTTTTAATATTCAAATTCGATCTCCAGCTGTCGCATAGTAATGAATGTTCCGGACGAGACATACAGGCAGGCAGCTTTTATCAGCCAGTCGAAATCATGAATCAGCATCATTTTTATGGATATATACAAACTGCAGGTCTGATATGTTTTCAAGCTAATTTCTTGTTCCCACAGTTTATTAATACATTCAACTTTACATACACAGATATACATGTGCTAAAAATGCACGCATCACTCTGGCTGAGAAGTTTATCTTGTTTTGTCAGGAAACTCTTTCAGATAACAATGTCTACATGCAAACACTTGTAAACTGGTCTCCTATTAATTTAGATAATGTTATGAGTTGGAAATAAGCATGTTTTGGGGAGATAAAAATCAATGTTTCTCTGAACAAACAAGTTAAAGCGTTAATAGTAAGCTATATGTACTGGCTATATGTACTTATTAGATAGCAAAACCATATAAATTATTGCATATATTATATTAGCATGACATAAATTGCTCTTTTGTCTGATGATGTTTGATAAGAAAAATCGGAGTATGCCGGGGACCATGAGTAGAGATTTGAGTTGACTGTATCTCTGTAAGGGGATGGTGTAATTCATCTTGAAAATAAAATAAAAAGCCACCGAAATGCAATTAAAACACATAAAGACAATTTCATAAACTCATACACTTATCCTTCACAACTATATTACCTGCTAAGATTATACTTACAGTATATATGGAATGCTATGTTGTAACAATTGTCCATAATGTCATACATCAAATGAAACACACACTTTGAAGCTACTGTACCTTCATGAATGAACAAGAAAGGCCTGTATCACAATATTTTTTAAACAGTTATCTGCAATCTTTGTGCAGTACCTATGCACTCACACCTCACCCAGTCAAGAGCAAGTCATGGCATTGTGAAAGATAAGTGTAACCGTTTACATATAAGGCATATTGAAAAAGTTGAAAGACCTCCTTTGACGCTCCTCCTTCAAAGATATTGTAGGTATTAAATAAGAGATATCCCAGATGTCTTCTTTGTTCAAATTTTGTATTGTGTCTTTTTCCACAAACAGAGCCTTATTCCTCGAGAGGGGAATATGGACTTTTGCCCTGCAGGGTGACACCAAAGATTGTGGAAACCAAAGTTGTCATAGATAGGCGTCAACTTCACAGAGTCTCCTTCACTGGACTGGACAGTGAAGACAAAGATGGCGCTACATTCAGAGGCCCATCAGGCAGAACAGAGCCACCAGGAGCAGGGAGGCCAAGCTGAGGGACTTGGCAGCCATGACGCCTCCACCTGGAGGGAGACAGACAGAGGCACAACGTTTCAATTACATTTTGGGTAACGTTCTAACCTATCAACCAAGTCAGGTATATTTGGTCTGTTCTGTTAGGGATTTTGTGTATGGTTTCATGATAGGAAAAGATTACAAACGCACATCCAATGTGTTTGAGCAGGTAGTGGATATCAAATCATATGTTTAGCAAATGGTAAAAAGAGTGCACACTGCAATCTATGCTCCTATGTGGTTAATTGCCGACAAAGTTTCGACCACTTTCTGTAGGTCTTCATCCTTCATGGTTTTATGATATCATACTGTGTACCACTCTGAGAGGCCCCTCTCCCTACCCCTGTGTAATATGGTGTGACATGTTCTCAATAAGCCAAAGATTGGATTTAGAATTTGTATGGCAAGACAGAGTCAGGTTTGAGTGCCACATCCAATTTGGAGATCGATGACATGTACTGTAAATTACTGGCTGACGGTTATGGCTGACTGACACAACATTTATTTTCATAGAGTTCTCTCTGTTCAATCCACACATGCAACATTCATGAGGGCTCATTTCCATATCAATGTCACTCCAGTAGAGAAGCCATTGGTGAACCGATCACAATTCCAAATGTATGGTTAGATGGGTGCATTGTGTAGCCTTTAGCTCTTTCCTGGGCTATCCTGTCTGTCAAAATAGCAGGATTATTTCCGTTTTAAAGATGGCCACCGAAAGCCAGAGTCATTTGTCACAGTCAACCCATGGACAGAAGCTGTCACTGACGTTTTCATAGTATATATTATTATCATAGGAATACGATGGGTGGAAAGGCTTTAGTATAAAGTCCATGACAAAAGCCTGGTGATGGCCCACTGACTTTATCCCCTGACTGACTGGCCTACTGACTGAATGACTGGCTGAGTGGATGGGGTGGGGGATGGAGGGGTGGATGGATGAAGGGGTGGAGGGGAAACCCCCTCCTGGGTAGCTGTTATCATGGAGGCCAGTCCCACCTGACAGCTTGATTTCACAGACTCCTGGGAATCTGAGCTCCAGGGGGATTATAATGCAGGGGGTTTGACAAATGGAGGGCCAGCAGCCTTGGATAAGATGGTGATATCTCCCCACCGCACCAAATATGGGATTCAACTTCTGATGGATTACAGTGCTTCACTCAAGTGTTATTATGTTGACGGTTGGATACTTCATCTATAGCACCTCCTCACAATCAGCCTCCATTTTGTGTCATATTCATTTCTGCCTGTAAAAGGGGCTTTATACATTTCTATTCATTTATTATGTTGATTTTTGATTGATGTGTTACCTGAGATGCGTACTTGGGCCACAGCCCCATCCCCTCCCTCGCTGTGAGCCCTGACCTCCACTACGTAGTCCCCGTCCTTGTGCATGGGCAGGTCTATGGACCGCTTCCCAGTGGTAAACAGCATCCCAGTGGATTTGCCAGCCTGCCTGTACAGGACCTGTATGGAGACCAACACACAGACAGAGAGAGAACATTAGATCAGTTCATATATGTACATACTAAGGAGCTGTGATTACACTGCAAAAAGTGAAATCTAAGCACGCCTAAATATCTTATATTGACTAATAATTCCCTTAATCATCTTATTAAGGTAAAATATATTGAAATAAGAAAATACAAGTTCAAGTTTCAAGTTTTATTATTTGTATGTATGGGATACACATGGTATACACTGTCCAATGAAATGTTTACTTCCAGGTTCCTTTCCGACAATGCAACAACAATAAGAAATACTAAAAGATAAGACTACTAATATAAAGTGAATGGCTCAGTAGAATAGAATAAACATTTTAGCATAAGTATAATACAGGAAGGCATAATTTATACTCCAATATTTATATGTATTTTGGGGAAGGGGGATTGGGGGACAAGTGTTTAATTGTGAAGTATTTAGCAATTGTGATGTGTGTAGCATGAATGTATGTGTGTGTGTGTGTGTGTGTGTGTGCGTGCGAGTGTGGATGAGTGTATATCTATGTGAGTGTGAGCATGTGTGCTAAGGTACAGAGAGTCAGTGCAGGTGGTTAGTCCAGTTCAAGGGTCCAGCTCTCTGATGGCTTGTAGATAGAGCCTGTTGGTCTCTGAGCCTGTCGGTATCAGACCTCATGCTCCGATACCGTCTGCTCGACAGTAAGGGAGGGAACAGCTCGTGGCTGGGGTGTGTGGGGTCCTTGATGATGCTGCGGGCCTGCCACACTGTTTCGAATAGATGTCCTGGATGGGTGGAAACACGGTCCCAGTGATGTACTGGGCTATCTTCACCACCCGCTGGAGGGCCTTTCGGTCGTGGATGGAGCAATTCCCCTTACCAGGCCGTGATGCAACCGGTCAGGACACTCAATGGTGCAGCGGTAGTATTTGGAGAGGACCCGGGGTGGCATGCCAAATTTCAGCCTTAATTTGGCAGCTTTAGGAAGTAGAGACGCTGTTGCGCCCTCTTGACAAGAGTGGTGGTGTTGTTGGTCCATGTCAAGTCCTAAGTGATGTGGACACAGAGGAACTTAAAACGTCTCACGCTCTCTACTGCAGTCCCATTGATGTGGATTGGGGAATGTTCCCTCCTCTGCTTCCTGAAGTCAACAATCAACTCCTTTGTTTTGCTGACATTGAGGGGGAGATTGGGGTCCTGGCACCACAATTCCTCTTACCTCATCCCTATAGGCCGACTCTTCATTGTTGGTTACGAGGCCTACAACCGTCATGACCAGCCTCTTGAAGCACTTCATGATGAGCGGGGTGAGCGCGATCGGGCGATAGTCATTTGGGCATGTCACCTTGTTTTTCTTGGGCATTGGGATGATGGTGGTGTCCTTGAAGCAGGTGGGGACTACAGCCTGGAACAGGTTGAATATGTCAGAGAAGACGCCCGCCAGCTGGTCAGCGCACACTCTGAGGACACGGCCAGGGATGCCATATGGGCCGGCAGCTTTGAGAATATTCACTCTTTTGAGAGTTTTCCTCATGTCAGCCTCGGAGAGCGAACGCACCTGGTCGTCCGGATCAGCGAGAGTCTTCCTGGATGGCTCAGTATTGTCTGCCTTGAAGCGAGCATAGAATGTGTTAAGATCATCTGGGAGGGAGGCTTCGGTTCCCTTACTTGTAATAAGCCTTTTTAGGTTAAAATAAGCAAAATGATCTGCCAATGATGTTAGATCATTTAGCTTGGTAAGAAAAAACAAGGAGAAAACCCCCCACTAATGTTAAGTGAATTATCACTCAATATCAGATATTTAGGTTTCTTAGATTTCACTTGAGTAAACTGTATGTTGTGTCCAGTAATGTGGACCTTCTAGCTTGGTTGAGTTTTGAAAGCTGTAGCTTTAAGAAATCTGTTACGTCTCATGTGCGTATGTGACAGATGCTAGAGAGAGACACATTAGTTATTGCTCATGTGTTGATCTGAAGGACATACTTTTTGTTTTTTTTACTGCACTACAAGCTTCCATGCATTTGTAAAACTGTACCCACCTTGTAGCCATCTATTGTTGACTCGTTGGCCAAGGGTTCAACGTGTTCCCAGGCGATATTCACTGATGTGCCTTTCAGCTTTTTACTGATTATTTTAGGAGGCCGGCTTGGGGCTGGCGAAAAACAGAAGATAAACATTTCTACAGTGTAAGGATCATGTGACAATCAAATAGAATCAGTGAAATCACACTTTTGCACCCCGGTACATAACTCAGAATATGCTGATGATTATTCATCTGAGGACCAGTCTCCCAGACACAGATTAAGCCTAGTCCTCCACTAAGACACTTTCAATAGAGAAACTCCACTGACAAATGTTTTTTTTGTATTAGAGTAGGCTTAATTTGTTTCCAGGAAACCAGCCCTGAGATCAAAATACGTACGGGCTTTCTTGGTGTAGATCTGGAAGTGTTGGCTGGGGGGTCCGTATCCAGCTGCATTGTAGGCCTTGACCTCTATGAGGTAGTGGGAGTCTGGCCTCATATTATCCAGCCTGGTCTGGTTCTCTCTGCTGGACACCACCACCCTCTGACTGGACGTCTCGCTGTCCTCCGCCTTCCTCCAGTACCGCACCTGGACAGGAGAAGGAAAAGGGTCACAGAGACTCAATATACTGTATATACTATTCTAGGGTCTAAATAGTTCCTGGTAAAATAATATGGTAATAACTATTAGCTGACTGTGGTGCAAATACAATGGAGTTATCAGGGTTAGTCCATTGTTTGGAGGACTCTGGGTTGGTGCATAAAGGTCGCTTCTACTTCTATCTGATAAACAGTCATGTTACTCCTCATAGACACAGACACATAGTACTGACCTGGTAGCCTTCTACAGTGTGCTGGGTGACAGGAAGCCACCACACGATAGCCTCAGTGGCAGACAGCGCCCTGGCCTCCACACTAGCAGGGGCTTCAGATGGCACTGGTGGCACACACAGATATATAAGACAGAGAAAGAGAGAGAGAGAGAGCGAGAGAGAGAGAGAGACCCTGTAAAAGTATTTCCTCCATATACCCACCTACCGTAACTATCAATTTTCTATGAATATAGTCTTTATTTCACTTTACAACTTCATGTTGGTACCAAGTCTGACTTGTTCATGCAAACCTCCCTCAGTCTCGGTAAGGAGGCATCTGTTAACAGGCATTAATCATTACCTAGAACAAGCTCAGTAACAGAAATCTACCCACATTCTTTCTGCTCTCCAACAAACCCTTTCCTCTGAGTTATGACCCATGGTATTCGCTCCGAGAGAGCGCTGTCCTTTTGATGTTTAAATCTCACGCAGGGCGCCGCACCAAGAAACCTTCACACACACGTCATCAGGCTTAACTGAATGCTTCTCCCCTCTTTTACACCCCCAAAGAGCGTTACCATGGCAACTGAGCATCTCTCCGTAGTGGCTATCTTGATTGTCTGTCAGCTGAAGTTAATAAGTGGGCTACATAGATCACGATAATCCCACTCTGATGAGGGTGGGGAGTGGAGGGAGGGAGGGAGAGATGGAGGGAGGGTAGGAAGGATTCACATTCTAAGGGTACAATTCTTCACATTCATCTTTGGATTAGTTATTAAGTATATCCCACTCCATTAAAAAGTCACCGTGCTGATAAGTAATTGACACTGACAGATTGAAACAGTTGATATGTAGGTGTGGCGTTCTGAAGAGCCCCCCTCTCTCTATGCTGCTGACAGAGTACAATAATCTGGGGTCAGTTTTTCAGTTTATCCACCTACGGTTGAGGTTGGGCTGAGGAGTAAGCTGATCCTAGATCTGTGCTTACCATCCTGTGCAGAGTAGATGACAGCCGTGAGACTATAGGGTCCTTCTCCTTTGCTGTTGAAGGCCTTGACTTTGACCTGGAACTCTGTGGAGGCGGGGATGGAGGAGTCTTTGTGGACGTAGTGTTTAGCCTCGGGGTCTGCCACAGTCACCTTCCTCCACTCGTCGTCATCCCGGGGCTTAAAGGCGATGATGTAGCCAAAGTTACGTCCATAGTAGTACTGTGGCTGCACTGGCTGGTAGAGGGAATGGGAAATATTAAGAATAACAGAAATATCCACAGCAAGAAAGACATCCTTGCAGACAGAGTTGTGCTGAGTGACAAGACAATGGCCAGACCCAAAATAAGGGGTCACTCTAAAATGTGTTATATTATTCTAGTTACCATGACGACTGTGTCTCCGACAGAGTGTTTATTCCAAAGTTATGACACTCTTATTATTAGACCAACGCCCTCTCCCCATGCCTCATCTCCTAGCTTGGCTCAGGCACCATCACACCATATGTTCTGCGTGGCGTACATGCATCAGATACCACTAACCTCTAAACACACACACACACACACAGTTAACCTTTAAACACAAGCCTCATCACATCGACCAACTGCTGTAAGATTGATGCTGCCAGGCTTCTAGCAAGAAAAGGCAATTTGCCCAGGAGCGCTATAGGAATTTGTCAAAGGGGGAAGCACAGAAACGGAGGCTAGCTAATGCTTGATATCTATCACTGATAGTTTTGCTGGTGATTGTGTTGTGAGTCTAAAAAAAGTGAGAGATTAAAGACAGATACAAAAGCACTTCTGGATACCAGTCGTCATCCGTCAAACGGTCATGAATGTGCTGTTGTGAAATGATGTGTTTTCTTTCCTCTTCCTTTAGGAACATAGCTACCTTACTATCATAGCTGGTTTGCACTGCCTTGCAAAGACGCTTGTCTCAATTGGCTTGCTCCTGGCTGCTGTCAGATCAGATTTAGGTGCGAAGTTGAGTTTGTGGCCACAGTTCACCCTGGCAGAGATAGAAAAAGGTATTGGCTAGACCTACCGTCCAAGTGATGGCCAGCTCCCTGCTGGTCCCGCCACCGCCGCCGATGTCCGAGGGAGCCACCACGGGAACTAAAACGAGACAGCAAACGCCAAGCCCTGAGTTCACATTCACAGGCCAGTATTCACAAAGCACATCAGAGTAGGAGTCTGATCTAGGATCAGGTCCTGCCTGTCCATTTAATCATACTCATTATGGTCTAAAAGGTCAAACTAGATCCTAGATCAGCACTCCTACTCTGAGACACTTTGTGAATATGGGCCATTGTCCACACAGTACAATGCCAAACAACACATACTGTACCCTTCCATTGGCACTAATACTGATGCAGTATTGGCTTTGCAAATACCATATCAATGTCACTAATGCTGTCAAGTGCAACACCTTCATGTTCATATGGGACCAATGCCACACTGTGGGAGTAGAAAGGCTACAGCTCTTATCTCATTTGTCATGGTTTAGTGAGATGTGTTCTAGCTGATATTATTTTAGAAAGGTTACATTAGGCCTACTTTTTCCAATGTTAAACTTAAATTAGCTTATATGGCCGACTGGGGTTCAAAACCAGATCTCCAGTGTTAGTCTGCTGAGCTAAAGCCTAGGCCAGTGGTCACCAACCGGTCGATAGCGATCGACTAGTCGATCTCCAAGGCATTCGTAGTCGATCATCAAACATTTATGTAAAAAAATAATAACGATAAAGCCTTGCATTCCTATTTTGTTTTCATTTAGAGCTGTTGGCGGTGGGTGCACTTGATTCAGCAGCCGGGAAGGCGCTAGGGCTGCTGTGCAGATAGAACTCTGCATACCCGGCAGGCCTAGAGAGCAAATCAAGTGCACCTATAGGTCTACCGCTGGCCAGTCAGATAGCTCAGAGCACCGTGTCTGCACAGTTTCCTTGAGCCATAGGCTGTAAAAAGATGCCTCGAGCGCACAGCAAAGTTGATACTGTGAGATTACAAAACGTTTAAAACCATGACTAGAGAGAGACTCAATGAATACAGCAAAGAGCTGCTGTTTTTATAAGTAAGATGTGTTTAAGTTGTTATTCATCACTGTCAACACTTTGTTAAACTCTTTAAAAGACATAAAATGCGCGTTCTCCCTACTTTCACACACGCTACAACCTGTACTGCAGCAGTAATGAATGAGCATAGCAAAGTATTCCGATAAGCTTCCGTTGTTATTATTAGCGGTTTGTGTCTTTTTTTAATATCAAGGAATATTTTACTTTCTCTGGTCATAGGAGTAACAACATGAATTGGTGCATGAGGCAGAAGTAATGCAGTGCGACCTTGAGTTTCGCCATCAGCTGGAAGACTGCGTCCCCTTTTCTCAGCGGAGGGAGAGCGGAGGGACGGTGAGTCGGGTGAGAGGCAGCCTCACCGCTGCCCTCTCTCTACCTCCCTCCCCTCAGACTGGGGAAAGGGGATCCCTAGTCAGTTGTACAACTGAATGCATTCAAACGAAATGTGTCTTCCGCATTTAACCCAACCTCTCGGAATCAGAGAGGTGCGGGGGGCTGCCTTAATCGACGTCATCGGCGCCCGGGGAGCAGTTGTTGTTGGGGGTTAACTGCCTTGATCAAGGGCAGAACGGCAGATTTTTCCACCATGCCGGCTCTGGGATTTAAACCAGCAATCTTTCGGTTACTGGCCCAAAGCTCTTAACCTTTTACTGCAGTGGGATAAATCAGGGTCACACAGAGTGTTTCTTGGTAGTCTTAAAGAAGGTTCTGGACTTTAGAGCATGGTTTAGACACCTGTACCACGTCAGATATAGAGTTGAAATGGATTCAATTTGAGTTTACATCCCGATATTACACAGAAAACTGAAATATAAAACTGTTTACATAGAACCCCGGATTTTCAGCGTTTAAAAAAGTACAATGTTTATTAATTATGAAATTATGAAAAATATTAATAACATTCCACCCATGAGGCCACTCGGTCATTTGACTGCTGGAAAGGGCTATAGGCTACCTGCCTAGACTGACCATCAGATGCAGGCCATCAGTCCAGTAAAATACAATAAAGCAAATGATTATGCTCACTCAGCTGTGCCTCACAAGTAATACAAAAAAGTATATATGATCACACTGGTAATATATACTTTTTTGTATTACTTGTGAGGCACAGCTGAGTGAGCATAATACTTTGCTTTATTAAATGGTCTGAGAAGAACAACATTGGCAGGGCAATTCAAGCATAGCCAATATGCAGTGATAATGTATTGGGCCTATAGCTTACTGCACAAACCTCATTGCTACAGTACTGTTTTTAATAGGTTAATGTTGCATAGGTTGACGTTTTTTTATGTTAAAAAAAATCTGAATGGTAGATCTTGGCTTGCTTTTGGACTCAGAAAGTGATCTTGGCTCAGGAAAGGTTGGTGACCACTGGCCTAGACATTAGCTCTGGTAGCCAAGACAAGTTTTCAGATCTAAGTCAATGGAACCACCATGACGCGATGGTGGTTCCGCACCAGCTCCGTTCCACTCACCTGCCTCCAGCGTGGTGACTTTGGGAGAGGGGCCGCTGGGGTCTCCTGTCCCCAGGGTGTTGGTGGCTATCACCCTGAACTCATACTCTGTCCAGGGAAACAAGTCCACCACCGTGGCTGTCTCTGCATTTCCCTCCACATCCGGAGGGGCTACAAATCAAATCAAATCAAGCTTTATTTATACAGCACATTTCAGGACATGGAATGCAACACAATGTGCTTCACAGGAAAAAACGAATAAAAACAATGACATAAGAAGATAAAAAACAACAATAAAAACGGAACAACTAAAAAGCACCCTAAGACAGAGATCCATAGAAACACATAGTTTCACCTCAGAGAAGTATGAGATAAACAATCACAACACAGTGTGTATAAATGCTGCCAGCACTTGGACGTCTTTTCATACAAGTTGTATTACTTCAGTGCTACCGCACCTAAATATTCATTTACAGAACATTGTAAGAGTTGAGACTTTATGATATGGTGCCTGTGTGGACACATTCCATATGTTCAGAACATTTGTGGTTTCAGTCTCTGCAGGGTTTGCTCTTTAAGAGTTCCACCATGTATAGCTATGTATCTGGCGCTTCTAAAAACCTGTTTTTGCTTTGTCATTATGGGGTATTGTGTGTAGATTGATGAGGATTTGTAAAAAATGTAATCCTTTTTAGAAGAAGGCTGTAACGTAACAAAATGTGGAAAAAGTGAAGGGGTCTGAATACTTTCTGAATGCACTGCATGTACTGTATCTGGCGCTTAGCCAGTCAGAGTGGCACCACAGCAGTCTCCGCTTCAGTGTTACAGTTTATTTGACCAGTCTTTGGTGTCCCTTGGAGTTTAAATTTTTTTTTTTTATTGGACCGATAGACAGTAGGAGAGAGACAGAAAAGGTTGGAGAGGAGACACTGGTATGGGTTCTGAAAGCAGCAGCACGAACTGCAAAACCAGACCTACACATTTAGGGTATTTATTTGACCAGTCTATAGTTTGATGAATAGTCTTTATTTAGTTGACTTACATGTGGTGGCGTCTCTCCAGTCCTCCTGAGAGAAGGAGTCCCGGCACTGGACAGTGTATTTAGAGATGGGGCTGTGATTGTCTGTACCTCGGCTCCAGGTCAGACGCACACTCTTATCCCTGATCTCCTCCACACGCACCCCACCTGGGGACCCAGGGGGACCTGGAGAGGAGGAGAGGGAGGGAGGGAGGGAGGAGCATGTGGTTGGGTGGAGAAACAGAGATAATCATTGGTCGTTATTAAAGAAAATACTGGGTCAGAACAAAGAACTTCATAGTATCATGCACATATACAACAACTGTGCATAACCTTTCTGTATAGTAAGGTATAATGTAGTCCCCTGTAGCTCAATTGGTAGAGCATGGCGCTTGCAACGCCAGGGTTGTGAGTTCGTTTCCCACGGGGGGCCAATATGAAAAATGTATGCACTCACTAACTGTAAGTCGCTCTGGATAAGAGCATCTGCTAAATGACTAAAATGTCAAATGTAAAACAAAACAAACATATGCCTTTCCCCTCCTGTTCATGGGTGTATAGACCTGGCAAGTTTCCTTTGCCTGTTAAGTTTACATTGTACTTATACTGCAACACCTATTCTGAATAATCTGTTTGATTCACATCGCACATCCAAACAGGTGTTTCCACTGACATCAGTCTTAGACTAGAGGATTAAGACCAACTTAGGGCCATTGACATACATTAACTGAGCCTATGGGCCTAGAGCTTTTTAATCCACAGTTTTTCTAGTTCTGCCCTTCCTGGAGGAAAGAGAGAAGAAGAAACACTATAATAGAAAACCCAGACTGTTGGCGTGAGTCTCTCTCTCTCTCTCTCCCTCCCTCCCTCCCTCCCTCCCTCAGCCTCAGACAGCCCCAGAAATCAAGCAGGACTTTCATGTCTGTCACAGAATCCACCCAGAGAACTAAGGCGATTAGACTGTAGACTGCCAGAGAGAGAGGGAGAGATGTGTGTGTGTGTGTGTACAAGTGTGTGTCCATGCATGCATGTGTGTGTGTGTGCTAAGCTTCTGTCTCCACTCTGAAGAAGCCCTGAGTTGTTTCACAGGAACGTATTAGTAACATCTTTTCCACAAAGAAGTAATTTTCAGGCTTGTTGTATTGTTGTGTGGAAGCGGACTGGTGAATAGAGCAAGCTCTGAATCCATGTCCCACTGCAGGCCAGGGTCTGTGCAGTATGATAAGCTTCAGAGCTAGGCTAGTTTTTTTTATGAATGTCATACGGGGGGAAATGTCTATTTGAACAGTCAAATAGAAAATTCAAAGGCGCTGTGTTTTTATCCCATTGAACGACAACAATTATACATTGTTGTGATACGCATATGTATTCAGATACTGCACATGTAACAGCTCTTCTTATTATCATAGAACTATCATAATAAGATTGTAATAATAAGATACAGCTGCTGTGCGATATTTCCTTGGTAAAATCCTTCAATAGATCTACTTCCTCATTGTCAAAATTGATAAACGGTCATCTTTCATCTCCTTCCTCTTGGCACTCCATTGGTCATGCCTGCAGGCCAGGGTCTCTGCCTTGTTATTATTTGACTGCATTCTGGGATCATCGTCATAGCCTGAGCCCATTCACTTTCCCATCTGTCAGCGCCTGCTCTAAAGCATCACCACCAGGGAACAATGGGGATCATCAGACACCGGATCACTCCTCTGCTAGAGTTCTTAGTCCGTTCTAAAGAGCCCCTTTGTCCACTGAAAGAAAGGTTGTTTTAGGGCATACAGCATAGCAGAAGTCATGCCTTGGAAATATTTTAGGAGTTTGGTTCATACATGTTTAGCTTTCGAGGATATAGAATAACAAGCAGCAATGACTAAGTTGATTGAAATCAAGTGAGGAGATACAGTTCTTTGGCTACCAAAGCCCCAAACACTGGAGCATTCATTCTCACGCTCTTTGAGGAGATGACATAAAAGGCCTGACCTTTCCTGGAGACCTTTTCCGGATAGATAGGTTTTATTTACACAAATACATAAATACATTACATTTACATTTTAGCAGACGCTCTTATCCAGAGCGACTTACAGTTAGTGAGTGCATACATTTTTCATACGTGTCACATTGGTGCACTCCAGCAGTTTACCATAAAGAAAACGGAATTGCAGTGCAGCTTACATACAGTTGAAGTCGGAAGTTTACATAGACCTTCGCCAAATACATTTAAACTCAGTTTTTTAGGTCAGTTAGGATCACCACTTTATTTTAAGAATGTGAAATGTCAGAATAATAGTAGAGAGAATTATTTATTTCAGCGTTAATTTCTTTCATCACATTCCCAGTGGGTCAGAAGTTTACATACACTCAATTAGTATTTGGTAGCATTGCCTTTAAATTGTTTAACTTGGGTCAAACGTTTCGGGTAGCCATCCACAAGCTTCCCACGATAAGTTGGGTGAATTTTGGCCCATTCCTCCTGACAGAGCTGGTGTAACTGAATCAGGTTTGTAGGCCTCCTTGCTCGCACACGCTTTTTCAGTTTGATTGAGGTCAGGGCTTTGTGATGGCCACTCCAATACCTTAACTTTGTTGTCCTTAAGCCATTTTGCCACAACTTTGGAAGTATGCTTGGGGTCATTGTCCATTTGGAAGACCCATTTGCGACCAAGCTTTAACTTCCTGACTGATGTCTTGAGATGTTGCTTCAATATATCCACATCATTTTCCTTCCTCATGATGCCATCTATTTGGTGAAGTGCACCAGTCCCTCCTGCAACAAAGCACCCCCACTGCATGATGCTGCCACCCCCGTGCTTCACGTTTCAGATGGTGTTCTTCGGCTTGCAAGCCATCCCCTTTTTCCTCCAAACATAATGATGGTAATTATGGCCAAACAGTTCTATTTTTGTTTCATCAGACCAGAGGACATTTCTCCAAAAAGTGCGATCTTTGTCCCCATGTGCAGTTGCAAACCGTAGTCTGGCTTTTTTAAGGTGGTTTTGGAGCAGTGGCTTCTTCCTTGCTGAGCGGCCTTTCAGGTTATGTCGATATAGGACTCGTTTTACTGTGGATATAGATACTGTTGTACCTGTTTCCTCCAGCATCTTCACAAGGTCCTTTGCTGTTGTTCTGGGATTGATTTGCACTTTTCGCACCAAAGTACGTTCATCTCTAGGAGACAGAACGCGTCTCCTTCCTGAGCGGTATGATGGCTGCGTGGTCCCATGGTGTTTATACTTGCGTACTATTGTTTGTACAGATGAATGTGGTACCTTCAGGCATTTGGAAATTGCTCCCAAGGATGAACCAGACTTGTGGAGGTCTACAATTATTTTTCTGAGGTCTTGGTTGATTTCTTTTGATTTTCCCATGATGTCAAGCAAAGAGGCACTGAGTTTGAAGGTAGGCCTTGAAATACATCCACAGGTACACCTCCAATTGACTCAAATTATGTCAATTAGCCTATCAGAAGCTTCTAAAGCCATGACATCATTTTCTGGCATTTTCTGCACTTAGTGTATGTAAACTTCTGACCCACTTGAATTGTGATACAGTGAATTATAAGTGAAATAATCTGTCTGTAAACAATTGTTGGAAAAAATACTTGTGTCATGCACAAAGTAGATGTCCTAACCGACTTGCCAAAACTATAGTTTGTTAACAAGAAATTTGTGGAGTGGTTGAAAAACGAGTTTTAATGACTCCAACCTAAGTGTATGTAAACTTCCGACTTCAACTGTAAGAAACTAAGAGCATAAACATGATTAAAAGGAGAAACACATTAATAAAAATTAATTATTTACCCCATCTAGTGTCAGTTTAAAAGCCTAATTAATTATGATATTGGGCTTTTTCTGTAGTGTTCAGGGTTGCATCTGATCTCCCGTAGTTGCCCGTCCTGCCTTGTCCTTACTCCGGGTCGCTGATCCCTCGTAGGTGGCAGCCAGCTGGAGAATTTGTTTGAACTTCGCAGCTTGAGAGCAAATTTCAGGCACAGCTCCACATGTCTCTGCTGCAATGGTTTCATCTGTAGGGTTTGGCAGGCTGCTGAGTATGTTGTGTAGCCAGAACCTAGAATGATCTTGACGGCCCGCCTCTGGACTCTCTCTAAGGCCTGGTTCTGTTTCTCAGTGAGGTTGAAATGCCACACGGCAACAGCATACTCCACCACAGGACGTATATTTTCAGGTCTTGGACTGCCAAACCTCCTCAGACCTTTTAGGATGAACATTCTCTGATTGGCTTTTTTGGACGATGCGTTGACCTGCATGTCTCATTGAAGATACAGTGAGGGAAAAAAATATTTGATCCCCTGCTGATTTTGTACGTTTGCCCACTGACAAAGAAATGATTAGTCTATAATTTGAATGGTAGGTTTATTTGAACAGTGAGACAGAATAACAACAAAAAAATCCAGAAAAACGCATGTCAAAAATGTTATAAATTGATTTGCATTTTAATGAGGGAAATAAGTATTTGACCCCCTCTCAGTCAGAAAGATTTCTGGCTCCCAGGTGTCTTTTATACAGGTAACGAGCTGAGATTAGAGCACACTCTTAAAGGGAGTGCTCCTAATCTCAGCTTGTTACCTGTATAAAAGACACCTGTCCACAGAAGCAATCAATCAATCAGATTCCAAACTCTCCACCATGGCCAAGACCAAAGAGCTCTCCAAGGATGTCAGGGACAAGATTGTAGACCTGCACAAGGCTGGAATGGGCTACAAGACCATCGCCAAGCAGCTTGGTGAGAAGGTGACAACAGTTGGTGCGATTATTCGCAAATGGAAGAAACACAAAATAACTGTCAATCTCCCTCAGCCTGGGGCTCCATGCAAGATCTCACCTCGTGGAGTTGCAATGATCATGAGAACGGTGAGGAATCAGCCCAGAACTACACGGGAGGATCTTGTCAATGATCTCAAGGCAGCTGGGACCATAGTCACCAAGAAAACAATTGGTAACACACTACGCCGTGAAGGACTGAAATCCTGCAGCGCCCGCAAGGTCCCCCTGCTCAAGAAAGCACATATACATGCCCGTCTGAAGTTTGCCAATGAACATCTGAATGATTCAGAGAACTGGGTGAAAGTGTTGTGGTCAGATGAGACCAAAAAATCCCTCCTGAGATGTGTGCAAACTTGGTGGCCAACTACAAGAAACGTCTGACCTCTGTGATTGCCAACAAGGGTTTTGCCACCAAGTACTAAGTCATGTTTTGCAGATGGGTCAAATACTTATTTCCCTCATTAAAATGCAAATCAATTCATAAAATTTTTTACATGCGTTTTTCTGGATTTTTTTGTTGTTATTCTGTCTCTCACTGTTCAAATAAACCTACCATAAAAATTATAGACTGATAATTTCTTTGTCAGTGGGCAAATGTACAAAATCAGCAGGGGATCAAATACTTTTTTCCTTCACTGTATGCCTGTACACACAAGCCTAGGAGCTTGGTGGCTGGAACACTCTCCAGCCTAATGCCGTCTATACTGAGATGCAGCGGGGTAGCACAGATAACTAAAGTAGTGTGTTTAAAAATGCCATGGTGTGAGGCTCTGTGACATGTGCCTCTTCTCCAGTGGTTGGCCAGGCTCCAGGACAAAAGGCATTTCCTCCTACAGTGTTTTTTCCACTGCTCTGACAGAGCCACAGAGTTGACAAATCAGCCCATAAAACAACTCTGGCTAGATTTACAACCCCTCACACACACACACACACACACACACACACACACACACACACACACACACACACACACACACACACACACACACACACACACTCTTCATAAAAATATGTGTGCCAAATAAAGTAGGAAAGATTTTGCAGACTAATTTATGACACCCCCTCTGTGTTAAGAGTTTAGTTTATAGGGGCTATTTAAGCCAGCTACTGTAACTTGTCTTTAGATTTGTCATTTACTTTGTTTTCAGAGGGCAGCTCCTCTTACCTTATAGAAATGAGATCTGTTTAATGAACTAATATACAGAGCAAATATGGAGACAAATTACAGGTTCGACAGAGAGTGAGAAAATGTTGCATCAATCATCTCCCACTCTCTGTCTAGCAATCCACTCACTTACCTCCCACCTTCTCAACTCTAGTGCTCTGTGTGTGTGTGTGTGTGTGTGTGTGTGTGTGTGTGTGTGTGTGTGTGTGTGTGTGCGTGTGTGTGTGCGTGTGTGCGTGTGTGTGCGTGTGTGCATGTGTGACGTACCTCTGACGACCAGATCGGCGGATGCGGTGACGTTGTCCACAGGGGTCTGGGCGGTGCAGGTGTAACGTCCAGAGTGCTTCAGCTGGGTGTTCTTAATGAGCAGCTCTCCACTGGAAGCGCCATTCTGAACAGGGACAACAGGACACATCCAGAGATGAGGTATAATACCAGTAATAGTGTACCATTATGATAATAGTGTCCTATTTCATTCTGTGCAGACACACAACCTCTCAGCTATAGTCATTTCAGTTAGAACAGACACTTAGCTACACTTACAACACTATTTATGTATCACAATACAGGTATATTATTCTGGGTTCTATTTATGTATCACAATACAGGTATATTATTCTGGGTTCTATTTATGTATCACAATACAGGTATATTATTCTGGGTTCTATTGATGTATCACAATCCAGGTATATTATTCTGGGTTCTATTTATGTATCACAATACAGGTATATTATTCTGGGTTCTATTTATGTATCACAATACAGGTATATTATTCTGGGTTCTATTTACGTATCACAATACAGGTATATTATTCTGGGTTCTATTTACGTATCACAATACAGGTATATTATTCTGGGTTCTATTTATGTATCACAATACAGGTATATTATTCTGGGTTCTATTGATGTATCACAATACAGGTATATTATTCTGGGTTCTATTTATGTATCACAATACAGGTATATTATTCTGGGTTCTATTTATGTATCACAATATAGGTATATTATTCTGGGTTCTATTGATGTATCACAATACAGGTATATTATTCTGGGTTCTATTTATGTATCACAATACAGATATATTATTCTGGGTTATATTTATGTATCACAATACAGGTATATTATTCTGGGTTGTATTTATGTATCACAATATAGGTATATTATTATGGGTTCTATTTGTCCATGTGGGCCATCTTTTGAAAATATTATGGCTGTTGTAAAATGTCTCTTGACCTCCAGCTAGACAAAATGTCCACTTCCCATCTTCCAATTAGCCGTTAACGTAGTGTATATTGTAACAAGGCTACAACTTTCCAAGTCCTGAGGGATATAGTCCCGCTTGCCAGACTCACGTCACTACATAGGCTGTGGGAAGAGACTAGCAGGGATACAGAGATCTGAACATCCAATCAGGAGAACAACAGGGAGCTGTACCAGAGGGCTATCACCCTTCTGCCTTGTTTGCCGAATATAACATGGTGCTTCTTTAGTATTCTCAATGGGAATATTTCATAGACAGAATATTTAACCACAGAAGCCTGCAGAATATCTACAGTAGCCATTCACGTTATTTTATGTGAACTGCACTCTCACAACATGAAGCATACCAAGGTCAAAGAAGCACTGTTTATCTCATTTACCCTTTATTTAACCAGGTGAGTCAGTTAGGAACAAATGCTCATTTACAATGACAGCCATATTTTCTGTTTAAGAAATCCTCCTATTGAGAATATCAAGGCAGCATTATATTAACTTACTTACTATAATATGAATCATAATATTCTGATGCTACATAAATAAAATCAACTGGAGCACGCTGTAATTTTATGAGAGGGAAAATAAGCCTTGTACACAACTATGCAAGGTCATCAATCGTTATATGGAGATACTCCAGCCTGTGGAGTGACAGATGAGGAACGCTAGCTGCTGCTTACAGCTAAGGCTGCACGGGCAGAGAGTGGGTCACAACATTGATAATGTATGCGAGTGGATACGAAACTGCAGTTAAACTGATACAAGGCACCAGTATTTAGCAGTCCATGGGTCTTTTAGTAACTGATGCTAAAAGGATATTACAGTAGAGAGGTACAGTGGTATTACAGTGTTACTGGGCGGCAGGTAGCTTAGCGGTTAAGAGCGTTGTGCCAGTAACCGAAAGGTCGCTGGTTCTAATCCCCGAGCCGACTAGGTGGAAAATCTGTCGATGTGCCCTTGAGCAAGGCACTTAACCCTAATTGCTCCTGTAAGTCGCTCTGGATAAGAGCGTCTGCTAAATGACTAAAAATGTAAAAATGTTACAGAGATATGAGTTATACCAGAGTATTACAGAGCTACACCAGAGTAATACTAACTTAATATTTCGGCCATACCCGGGATTTGAACTGTCAACCCTATGTTTTCTGGCCTGCCTTTCTAATCTCTTACTGGGTTGCGTTCATAGTGGGATCCCTCCCGGTCGAAGTCGATGGCGTGGGTGTCCAGGGTCCAGACAAATGTGATGTCCAGCGTGGCGTCATGTGACGCGGCACACTGCATGCGGGCGCTCTCCCCCACCATCACGTCTGCGTTGGACGGAGCCAAGGTGATCTTAGTGGCCTCTGGAGAGAAGAAAAGGAAGGGGTAAATGGTCAACTTTGCAGGACTGTGCTGGGCTTTGCTGACTACAATGTGCTGACTACAATGTGGAAAGATCAGCAATGGATGTACTCTACAGTACAATTCTCTGCCTAAATCCACTTTAGTTTAATATTCAAGCCTTAGGGAAACATGTGCAATTTGTCAGACACTGTAAAATTGTACTGATGTGAACTGAGTGGAGTTAAGTGGTAGTGAGCATCTCTGACCAGTAGAGGACAGTGAAGGGTAAGATATTGATCACAGTAAGTGCTCTACAGGTCTATGTCTAACATTACATTTTACATTTTAGTCATTTAGCAGACGCTCTTATCCAGAGTGACTTACAGTTAGTGAGTGCATACATAATTTTTCATACCACCAACTGGACTGGAGTGTGGACCTCAGTTCATCTTTCAATCACCCACGTGGGTAAATGCTCCTAAAAACCAATGAGGAGATGGGAGAGGCGGGACTTGCAACGCGTCACGCGTCAAAAATAGAACCAAGTTCTATTTTAGTGCCTGGCTACGCTGACGCTCGTTGACGCGCGCGAGCAGTTCGGATGAAATTATTGAATAACATGAATGTGTAAATTGCGTCCAATCAAAAACGCATATTTTGACCAATGGCAAAGATAATTGCATAGATACTCATCTAAGAAAACCAATGGTCCAAACCTTATGTCTCTATCGTAATCCATTAAACAGTTATTGGAGTTTTTACCCTTGTAGGATGGCCAGAATTAGGGAGACTAAATCAATGGAGACCAGAGAAAAGAAGTAGTCAGAAATCTGGAAAATAGTAATGGGTCTACTAGGCTGGATGCTGTTCGAGAATTAAGGCAAACTGACTGGCTCACCGTTGAACTCGTCATCTTTTTTCTTGAATCCGGAGGACATAAAACAATATAGAGAGGTAAGATAGATATCAATTTTGAGACATGTAGTATTTTCATATTTTAGTATATGCTTTTCACATTAATGCGACATTTGTTATTTTTCAAAGATCTCTCTGAAAAACAAGCGTATCTTCAACGGAGCACTGAGTGTACTGTAAGCTTTTTATTTTCAAAGCCTTTCACATTGAATTCAACTCGTGTCATGCTAATTTTGCTTTTTGCGACCCGCCGAAACAACTTTGCAGATGACCACCACAACATGTAAAATCCTCAAAAGTCGCTGCGAGAAACGACACTGCTCTGTCAACAGAGCTTGGTGCTTATTATCAGATGTATTAGGTTAAGAAATCAGACTTTTTGGATATAATGTTAATGATATGTTAGAGAAAGACCCCACTGAACGATTCAGGACATGAATAATCATATTTGTCTTGGTAAAATGTATTTTATAACATAAGGAAGTGAAATTTCATCACCAAAGTGTGTTTTCATCCACTCTGGGCATATTTACATTACATTTACATTTACGTCATTTAGCAGACGCTCTTATCCAGAGCGACTTACATGAGCAATTAGGGTTAAGTGCCTTGCTTAAGGGCACATCGACAGATTTTTCACCTAGTCGGCTCGGGGATTAGAACCAGCGACCTTTCGGTTACTGGCACAACGCTCTTACCCACTAAGCTACCTGCCGCCCAGAGTGGGTGGACACCCTATTCCTTATGATAATATACTGAACAAAAATATAAACACAACATGCAACAATTTCAAAGATTTTACTGAGTTACAGTTCATATGAAGAAATCAGTCAATTGAAATAAATTCATTAGGCCCTAATCGATGGATTTCACATGACTGGGAATACAGATATGCATCTGTTGGTCACAGATACCTTTAAAGAAATGGGCCTCACAATGGTCCTCAGGATCTCGTCAACGTATTTCTGTGCATTCAAATTGCCATCGATAAAATGCAATTGTGTTCTTTGTCCGTAGCTTATGCCTGCCCATACCATAACCTCACCGCCGCCATGGGGCACTCTGTTCACAACATTGACATCAGCAAACCGCTCGCCCACACGACGCCATACACGTGGTCTGCGGTTGTGAGGCCGGTTGGATGTACTGCCAAATTCTCTAAAACGAGGTTGGAGGTGGCTTATGGTAGAGAAATTAACATTCAATTCTCTGGCAACAGCTCTGGTGGACATTCCTGCAGTCAGCATGCCAATTGCACGCTCAATCAAAACTTGAGACATCTGTGGCATTGTGTTGTGTGACAAAACTGCACATTTTAGAGTGGCCTTTTATTGTCCCCGGCACAAGGGGCACCTGTGTAATGATCATGCTGTTTAATCAGCTTCTTGATACGCCACACCTGTCAGGTGGATGGATTATTTTGGCGAAGGAGAAATGCTCACTAACAGGGATGTAAACAAATGTGTGCACAACATTTGAGAGCTTTTTTGCGTATGGACCATTTCTGGGATCTTTTATTTCAGCTCATGAAACATGGGACCAACACTTTACATGTTGCGTTTATATTTTTGTTCAGTGTAATAACCATAACATGTACTCAACAATAATAATTGACAAGCCATACAGTTAACAGAAGCTCACAACATGAATGCTTGTAATTTGAAAATCTTACAAAACAAATACAAGCTATAATATCCCATCTGCTACCTACTGCCATTGTGCAAGGCCCATGAGTGTGTGTGTGTGCGTACGCGCATGTATGTGTGTAGCTTGCCTGTGATGGAGAGGGAGCCTGTGCTGTTGGCCTTGCCCTGATCATTCTCAGCAAAGCAGGTGTAACGCCCTTCGTCTGCTTTGGTCACATTCAGAATTTCCAGACCACCATCCTCCCAGATTAACACCCTGATGATAACACAACATATGTGAGTGTTACAAAACACAGATACAGCTACTTAATGCAGATATAGAGAATATATTGTATGACAAGAGATCTTATACTGATGATCACAAAATCCTCTGAGTGTACAAAATACATAGAGAAGGGCAATACAAATATGACAAGAGCAAATCCTGTAAGGCAACATTCTATTCAGCACTCATTCGAATTCACATGGACAGGAAAAACCCTCTAGACCCTACATGATAGGTAAGCAGTCATGTTGGACATCTCTGTTATTGAATAATTCCTCCATAGTGAGTTAGTGGTCGATCATTGAGAGTGATTTTGGTAGTTTGAGAGGGACAGAGATTATTCAAGCCATAGTGATTTGAGTAGTTTGTTTCATAGTGATTATGACACAGTAGTATTCCTGTGCCCCACAGTCCGACCCCCTGTGGTGAGTGGTGGGTCTTTGTGAAGGCAGATTAGCCTTGTTTAGTGGTTGAGGAGCAGAGGGGCGGAAGACAGGGGCTTACACAGCCAGACTCTTCCTGTCCTGTCTGATGAGCTTTATGGCAAGCTTAAAGTCAGTCCGTGGCGGAAAGCAGAGGGAAGCAGACTATAGCACAGTACTCACTGCCAAACTAAAGCACCCCCATTACCCTGCTAAAGGGATAGAAGAGAGAAGACAGAGGAGACGTACACATTTTAATGGATTCTAAGTAACAAATCACCTTAAACCCCAATGACTTAAATGTGATACAAACCTAACACTCAGCTTCTTTTTGAAATTAGTAAGACAAAATATCAATACATACAGTAAGACTAGACATTTTGAAGTAGCCTGGTCGTCCCGAGAATGGCATGCCAACGAATGATAGAAGAGTTCGCTACAATACAGCATACTCAGTCTATCAGACAAGGCTAATTTTGAGGAGACTCAAAACCAAAAACTAATTTGACTGATGATCATGATCATTTAGATGAGTTATGGCCCCAGACCCAACCAGACCCAACCCAGATGCTGACCTGGTAGAGTTGAAGAGCAGTTCAGTGCCCTTGCTCCAGGAGAACGAGGGTTTGGGAGCTGCTTTAGGTTTACACTCTATGACCACTCTGCCATTCTTAGCTCCCAGGATCCTCCTCTTCAAAGGGTTGTGCTCAAACGTAGGTGCACACGCTGCATAGGATCACAGAGAGAATAGGTTTTAGTCATTACACTAGGGTTTATTCATTACACTGTTTCTGTTCAAAAAAGTTTTGAAAAAAATCTCAGAGAGAAGCATGTGTGTTAGCATTTCACTTCTGTTCATGCCTCATTACCATAATTAGGACGTGTTTCGGATCAAGTCATCGCTGAAAAGGGCATGCTGTCTGTTCATTGGACTATGCTGTTTGTTTATGTGTAACGTAGCCTCAATGACAACTGACAAGGCAACTTCATGTATTAATTTACTCCAAATTAGTCTGTGCGGTGACCTTTAGTCTTTGGACTGAGCCAATCACGATGAATCTGAGCCTTTGACTCACCAATCACTCGCAGCTCTGCGTTAGCATAGATGACTCCATGGCGATTCTCTGCTATACACTGGTACATCCCAGAGTCCTCAAACGTCAGACCATTGAACTTCAGATCATGCTTATCGTACTGCAGAAAATTTATAAATAAATATGTCACAATTATATTCTTCAGCATTTCAATATTACAACAATATGCTTCAATTCAATATTGCATGGTATCCTAAAATGTCATTTTACAATAAAGCATTTTGATGTTTCAATATCAACATTGAGATTTCATCACAATAAATAATTGTGATGTTATACTGACAACATTGAGATTTCACTTTTGTGAAACCTCAATGTTGACGTTGAAACATCAAAATACTTTTGAAATCTAGAAATACGGTGTACCAATTGATGCAGTGTTGAATTAAATAGCACTAAAATGGCTTTATTTGACTTGATGAAACCATCATTAATACATAATGAAGTATCACAGTGACATCAGAATCCTCCCACTTGCCTTCTCTCCTGACAGGGGTTGGTGATAGTTACTATGGCAGTTAATTATGTAATCTCTTTGGGCTGGCACCCTCGGAAACAACTAGAGGTACCTTTTTCTCTCTTCTCATTTCCTCATTACATTTTAGCAGACGCTCTTATCCAGAGCAACTTACAGTAGTGAGTGCACACATTTTCATACTGGTCCCTCATGGGAATCAAACCCACAACCCTGGCATTGCAAGCGGCATGCTCTACCAACTGAGCCACACAGGACCCCTCATCTCTCCTCTCTTGCCTTCTCTCCTCCTCTCCTCTCCTTTCCCCTCTCTCCTCTCTCCTCTCCACACTGGCACCCTCTGAGACACAACAAGAGCTACCTTCTCCTGAGTCTTGACTGTGCCCTGTGTTCAGACTATTCAGAGTACCCCTGCCAGCGGCCTGTCACAACTGTGCCACCCTGATGCTGGCTGCTGGCCTTGGCAGAGAGGGTAGTGTTTTTCTAACTAAGGGACCTGCTGGAACACTATAGGAATTTTCACACGACTCAACCGAACCGAGCCGAGACAAATCAAGCTGTACTGAGCAGGCCTGGTTACGCATCCACCATAGCTGACGGAGCACTATTGCCTGATTCACACTATATTGCCAACCCCAACCACACTGTGCTGGCTCAGATATTTTGTCTTCATATGTTTTTTTCCAGTTCGGTTCCTGCAACTATGACGGGTGCTAAACCAGGCCAGCTCAGCTCAGCACAGCTCTGTTTGGCTCGGCTCTGTTCTGCTCAGCACAGCTCTGGTTGGCTCGGCTCTGTTCAGCTCAGCAGTGTGAAAAGGGTATGTGAAAGTTCTCTTACGGCATAGCTGTTCTTGAGCCAGTGGACGTGGGGTTTGGGCTTGCCGCTAGCCACACAGGACATGGTATAGTCACTACTGATGTCCTTCTCTGTACTGTTGATGGACTCTGTCCACTCCGGGAATGCTGGAACAGAGTGAGATGAGGAAAACAGACAGTGTAAGGCCCAAATCCTAACTTGAGATCAGCGCTCAACATCAATGCATGAAAATGTTTACATTTAGCAGACAATCTTATCCAGAGCAATTTACAGGAGCACATCAACAGATCTTTCACCTAGTCAGCTCGGGGATTCAAACCAGCAACTTTTCGGTTACTGGCCCACCACTCTTAACCACTAGGCTACCTGCACAACTCAAATGAGGCCCGAGAGAAAAGGTGTTAAATCATAACAATTTGGAAGTCATTGAGTTGCAACTACAAAGCTGGAGAATATATACGGTATTAGAAGACTAGAGACAGAGCCCTACCTTCTACAGAGAGGTGTGCCTTGTGCCGGTCCTTCCCTTTGGAATTGAGGGCCTCACACTCGTATGTCCCCTCGTCCTCATACTGCACGTTGTACAGGTGGAGGTGGGCCCCCGCCATGCTGATGTCGTGATTGGACGGCAGCTCTCCGTTCATCTTCCTCCAGCGGATCTGAGGGATGGGGCTGTGGAGAGAGAGGGATGGGAAGGGAGAAGAATGAAAAGAAGAGTGTCATGGGAATCTATAGTACAGCTGTATTACAATAAACCATTTCATACTCTAAGTCTGACCTAGGATACCTAGTATAAGTGATTCTCTAATAAATGTACTTGTAGCAATGCATTGGCTATAACCAGACTTACTTTCCCAGGGCGAAGCATTCCAGTGTGACATTCTGTCCCACCAGTGCGTAGGTGTCTGGGAACTTGACTTTGATGTCAGCAGGGTACTTCCTGATTGGACCTGGTTGGTGGAGAAACAGGAAATAGAAACAACTGGACGTGAGTCACCTGTTTATTCATAACACCCCCTCGGAGGCAGAATAACTTAGAGCAGCAACAATATGTTATGTTAGTTAACTCTGTGTACAGACAAGGTGATGCATGGTTGGAGGTGCTTTATTGTAAACGGTTCTGTCAGGTTGGATACGTTAGCTATGCTGCAACACACACACACACACACACACACACACACACACACACACACACACACACACACACACACACACACACAGTGTTTCCAGCTCAGTCTGCCCTCCAGGATGAGTGTACAATACAGTGCTAAATATGGGCCATGACACAGCCAGAGGCCCCTGTGGTGTTGTAGTAATGTAGTCATAATAAAACATATGCATGACAAAGCATGAAGTGTTGCCGGGTAAACTACGGTACTCCCCTACAACCTTTTCAACTAGAACACAACATGCTAGCTTGTTCCCTACCATGTTTGTGCTATAGCCAACTCCTTGGGTAATCGTCATGCTTGTAATTGCCAAATATGACATGACCATAGGCATTGCCAAGAGAGTACAAACAGATCTGGGACCAGGCTAAGAACATGCTCGTTTGTGTTAATTCATCTGCTCGGTTGGTACTAGGTAATGTTAGCATAACTCAGCAAACGAGGAGGACCAACTAAGAGTACATCACAAACAAGTAATCACTTATGAACTCTTGAGGAAAGTGAAGCTGCTGCCTTCTCTTCATCTCTATCTCAATTATTTCTCTCCTCAAGCCTTTCCCACATTCATAATCAACACATTTTACATTACATTTTAGTCATTTAGCAGACGCTCTTATCCAGAGCGACTTACAGGAGCAATTAGGGTTAAGTGCCTTGCTTAAGGGCACATCGACAGATTTTTCACCTAGTCGGCTCGGGGATTAGAACCAGCGACCTTTCGGTTACTGGCACAACGCTCTTACCCACTAAGCTACCTGGCTCTCTCTCAACAGTTCAACTGTGGTCTGAAACTCCAACTCCGGAGATGGAGACTGTCTGGGTTCTCGCCTGCTAGCGACCTCTCTTTATCAATGTTCATATGTGGTTCACAGGTCACAAGATGGACCAACTCTACTACCCTAAGCATACTACAAATAGTAGGCAATTGTGTGATATCTAACACCTTGATAATGATCTCACATACTGTTGGTTAATATGGTGCCCATCTTCACTGAACAGATTCATATCTTCCAAACAAAAAGTGGGCAATTGTGTGATCACTGAAATCTTCCAGTAACAATAACTTTATTATAGGTCATGGTATGTGCATACTATTAGATACGATGGGACAGGAATCTTTGCTGAATAGATTCCTATCTCAACATATAGGACAGTTAAAACAGGAACTGAAAAACAGGAACTAACGTTCAGCCAGGGGGACGAGGGGGATGAACTTGCTGAAGACGCTCTTGGCGATGGATGCACTGGAGACGAAGCAGGAGTAGTTGCCACTGTCTGATGAGTCCACCTGGTGAAAGACATAAACAATTTATGTAAACATATTTGATCTTATGTCCTGTATTATGTAATACATGTTTGTAACTGCGTGTTTTTATGTGAAAATGTTGATGCTGTAAATTCAGCATTTATTAAATTTCTATAAACTGTGAGCATCACTCAAAAAAGTTCAAATGTGTGTCAGAAATGGCACCCTATTCCCTAGATAGTGCACTACTTTTGACCAGGTAGGGTGTCAAAAAGTGTGGTAGGGTGAAATGATAGGGTGTCATTGCAGACAGTCAAAGACACATTCTGAAATCCACCTTAGAGATGTAGAGGTTCCCTGTAGTCTGGGAGACGAATCGACGTTTATCCAGCATGATGAAGATAGGGAACTCATTCAGAATCCAGCGGAATGACAGCTCGTCTATGGAGAAAAGATACACAACCCTCAACCTTTCAATCAACCCTCAACCTGTCAATCAACCCTCAACCTTTCAATCAAGCCTGAATCTGTCAGTCAAATACAGAGGAGATGGGGGAGGGATGGAGTGCCAATATGGAGCCGAGCGAGGAGAGAGGCTGAGGAATTGGCTCTTATATTATTTTTTTATACTATTTTCACACCAAACCACACAATCATGCTGACCCAAACCACATTATCATGCTGACCCAAACCACACTATCATGCTGACCCAAACCACACTATCATGCTGACCCAAACCACACAATCATGCTGACCCAAACCACATTATCATGCTGACCCAAACCACATTATCATGCTGACCCAAACCACATTATCATGCTGACCCAAACCACATTATCCTGCTGACCCAAACCACATTATCATGCTGACCCAAACCATACTATCATGCTGACCCAAACCTCTCTCTCTCTCTCTCTCTCTCTCTCTCTCTCTCTCTCTCTCTCTCTCTCTCTCTCTCTCTCTCTCTGAATAAATGTGAAATATGAATATCAAAATGCTTTATTTGGGGTTTGTTTAGGGATTCATTACACAAGCGGGTATTGACCTTCAAAATGAAAGCTAACAATGAACAATCAAACTGTTGTCATGACGCTATGAAAAGAGGACAATTCTCACTGAGGAACTGTCATTCTGTAGCCGCGGCAGCAGCTGAAAAACGTTACCATTATTTCACAGAATGGTTTGGTTGGAATCATTTGCATAACCATGAACATGCACATCTGCTGTACAAAATTCTAGTGGAGCTCCCGTTTGATACCAAATACGTTTATTTAACAAAGATCAAAGATGAAGAAATAGAGAAATAAAGGAGAACAAAATAGGGCCAAGAAACACGCCCGACTCAGAGACTCAGAGAGGAAAACCTGAACAGATTAGTGTAAAGTACCTTTGATGAAGAATACAAAGCTACTTTATGAAATGACATAAAAAAGCATTCAAAACAGCTTATTTTGCCTCACACAGCCCCACACTGAGACTAGAAGTGTAAAACTCAGCTCAGGGCTACAGTGTGAGAATATAGCCTGCAATATGTCAGAACAGAAGCAGCCTCATGAAGGAGTACTGCCAGTCACCAGCAGGGGGCATACTTTCATTGATTTTTCACTGTTATGACTATCTGGGTTAATTGCCTGAGTCGTAACATACTGTTGGATTTAATACTGGAATAGAGACACATGTAACAAGTGCAATGCTACAGACTATAGCGCTAACGTAGCACGAGAGCGTTCATACCCAGCCATCACACTTTGTCTTAAGATGTCTCGACACATCTTGAGACATTAAGTTGAGACGTCTTGAGACACTTCAACTAAGACATAGATACTTTTCAAGACATCTTAAGACATTTTAAGATACATTTTTGAAGACATGTCTTAAGACACAAGCTGTGTGTAGTATTAGCATTAGCTGTAGAAATAGCCTAGCATCAGATAATTAACTTTAGCACCTACCTGGGTAGTGTGGGGGAGGAGCGCAAAGCAGGACTGCCCCCTGCCCCTCCTTCACGTACACCGCCTCTCTTTCCTCAGACGAGAAGAAGTCCAGGTCTGGAGGAGAGAGCGTGAGAGAGTGAGCGAGAGTGAGACAGAGAGAAAGGGGTGGAAGCAAGAGAGAGAGAGAGAGAGCGAGAGAGAGGGAGAAAGAGGGAGAGCGAGTGATGGGGGAGAGGAGGAAGGGGCGAGAGAAGAGAAAGACAGAGAGTTCAGATTCATTAACAAGCCTGGAGAATCCACTGTCATGCTCTCCTTCACCTCATTTATGTAATAACACTTATCCTCCAATCCTCTTAAACCCTGTCCTACCTCCTAGCTCAAAACCACTTTAAAACCAGGACCTGCATTACTTTAGCTAGCAGGCTTGTAATTTGCAACTGTCCTATTTCAAAGGGAGGGAACTAACTATTGATTCAGCAGAAGTGATTCCGTCTCGTGCCACACTCGAAAGTTTGACCATTCAAATTTCATTTCCAAAGTTGTTATGATGTGGCACTGCCGCCTCCCTCCCGAGTCCCTATCACAGCTCTACTAATATAGGCATGAAAGCATAGCACTTGCCTGAGGGGCTGTTAAAAAAAAAGTCCTTCCATCCTTTCTGCCTATGATAATGTGTTACATAACGACTAACGGTGGATCCGATCACGCCCCAGTGTTTCATCCACTCACATCCAAACTGGACGCCGGCCTCTCGGCTGACCACGGTGCCGTAGTCGTTGGAGGCCACACAGGAGTACTTCCCAACGTGTTTGTTCTTAATGGGGTTAGAGATGACCAGGTTGCCCCCGACCATGGTGTAATGGTTATCACCGTCCAGGTCTATCTCCCAGCTGTTCAACCTCCACCTGAAGAAGAAGAAGAAGAAGAAGAAGAAGAAGAAGAAGAAGAAGAAGAAGAAGAAGAAGAAGAAGAAGAAGAAGAAGAAGCAGAAGAAGAAGAAGAAGAAGAAGAAGAAGAAGAAGAAGAAGAAGAAGAAGAAGAAAATCAAGTTCATTTTAAACATCTATCACAATTCATTTTTCCACATTTCATGAATTGCATGGCGAATGAGGCCTGAATGTTTTAAGGTCCTTTTAGGTCATGTATTAGGACCTCCAGACTTGGCCCTGTGCAGGACATCATGCTGAGGAAAGACAGAGAGATGGCAAGTGATGGGGGACATACAGTACAGCACACACAGAAGGTGGTATTTAAGGGGGTGAGGAGAGAGGAGAGCAGAGCATATGTTACTGGTATGTGGCAGGTGGGTTGGCTCGTGCTCGACAGCTCATGGTGATTTTGGCCTCAGGCGACTCCTCGGGGTAGATGGTTTCGACTGGCTGATCCTCAAACACCGGGCCGTAACCTGTAGCATCGTCTGAGAGGAAAGAGACAGACAGACAAACAGGGTGAATGAATCAGGACCTACTAGGTCAGATAGACAGATGGACAGGATAGTCCCTTCCTGTTACAGTTAATTTTCTTTCGCTTAGTGCCTAATGACTAAGACACAGGTCTCGGGAAAAGACGTGTGAGTAAGTGATGTGAAGTTGAGTTTATTTTCTTTCACAAAGAAAACATTTGTTAATGATTAAATGCATTCTTGCAGTAAAATAACAACATGGTGTAATGTCATTCTACTCCCAGCAACCTGGCTCCTACCCTTGGTATTTCTTAGTACTGTATATCTTCTGACAGGGATGTCAGGTGGCAAACCTACTATACGTAGAACCATCTCCCATTGGTTCAATTATTGTCGGAAGCTAATACCAATCTTAAATTGGAAATAAACATTTAACCCAACCCCTTTCAGATACCATTAACATAATATTCAGAGCTGACAAGACAAGCAGTTAGTGAGCTAAACCCAGAGAGAGATCTCTTTGATGGAAATGCCTGGCCTCATTCGACCTGACTTTAACAACGGTGTCAGCACACATTGATAACGAGATCACGTGCGTGCGCAAGCACACACGAATGCACACACACAATCAAAACATACGCGCCACGCATGCATGCATGCACACACACACACAAACACACTTGGATAATTAGATCCAATTAGTCATTAAAAAAGACAGGCATCACAAAGCGCCCATGATTAAGACAGAAACGCAATGCAAGACAAGGCAATGAATAACCAATGAGGCTAAATGTTCCTGAGACGCTGATTATTCTCTCAGATCGTGACTGTGCATTCAGGTGTGTGTGTGTGTGTGATCTCGCTCTCTAAGCACATCTGTCACCTCTATGCCACTGTCACTGAGGAGCACACACACACACACACACACACCACAACACACACACACACATCCTGCACTTATCTCATCTGTCTAAATAGGCAAGCAATGCCTCTAAAAGATTCCCTGAAGATTAATTCCTCTAAAAATATAAGAAATACACGCTAACTGCCACCTTTACAAACCCAGGACAAAGGATTCATATTCTCACAATATCCTGACAGCAAAAATGCTTATGTCTTATTATAAACCCGGGTGGTTCGAGACCTGAATAGTGATTGGCTGAAAGCTGTGGTATATCAGACAGTAGACCACGGATATGACAAAACACTACTTATTTACTGCTCTAATTACGTTGTAATAGCCAGTTTTTAATAGCAATAAGGCACCAGGGGTTTGTGGTATATGGCCAATATACCACGGCTAAGGGCGTTGCTTCGTGCATAAGTACTTAACAGTGGTATATTGGCCACATACCACAAACCCCTGAGGTGCCTTACTGCTATTATAAGTCTTCATTCTCAGTGAGAGAGAGAGATATAGAGAGAGACAATGAGGGAGAGCGAGAGAGAGAACGAGAGAGAGAGAGGGAGCGACAGAGAATGAGAATGAAAGAGAGGGAGAACCTTGGACTTTAGAAAATATGATTTTATCAGATACTTCAGAAAATATAAGAAAACAATTGCAATGGACAGGAATGAAGCTCACACACACTCCAACACAAGGACAATGTGTAAGTGCTTGACACTGACATAGCTTGATGGCCTAGTACCAACCATTTGGAATGATTGCTGCTTGAGAGAGAGAGAATTACACATGCTCTGGCATAAACAGGGCATGGAGGTAAGTTAAGTGAGAAACAGTGTTCAGGGAAGAAGAGAGGAGGAGGGAGAAGAGGAGAAGAGCAGTGACCGTATGGAACAGAGCTGAAATCGACACACAGGCCTGTCTGGCCCTGTGAAAGAAATGCTAGTCATCGTAAAGTAATGCGTGTGCGTTCATCACTCCCTGACTTTACTATGTGAAGTGACAGATGGTAGAGAGGAGTGCTAAACAGACCACATGAGGCCCACAGCCTGCAGAAACCAGGGACCTTGATGCTCCCACATCTGTATTGATGCTCTATCTCTCCCTTTCCCTCTCACATGATTTCTCTCTCCTCTCTCATTGGTTATTGCTGCCTTTCTCTCTTCCTCGACCGTCTCGCTATTCTGCCTCTATCACTCTCTCAATTGATTGAGGACGTCTCAATAAAAAACATCAATAGCCTCTATCTTTCTCTCTCTCACTAGCTTTCTGTCTCTCTCCTTCCCTCGCTCAAACAAAGGCTGTTTTTCTCTGTCTCCATCTCTCTCATCTCTCTGTTCCCTACTTCCTGTATACCTACTCTCTCACACTCCCTCTTGAAATACTTCAATATTGTTCTTTGTCTTTCTCTCTCCTCCTCTTATTATGTGTGTCTCTCAGCGTCTCAGACACTCCTTCTCTCACTCTCGATCCCCCTCTCTGTCTCATCTTCTGGCATGACTTGGCTGTGGCAGCGATGGCTGGGTGACTCCGTTAAAGGCGTATAAAGCTTTTTGGGGTAGGCAATCATGTACCTAGCAGTCAATGGACAAACACACTGACACAACCTTTTCTCTCCTGGGCCCTGCTGTGAAGAGAAGAGCCTTCCTCTGGACTTTATTATCAGACAACAGGACTCTATTCATCAACACTGTCTGCCCTAGACTGGAACAATACCAACACAAACCTGTTGGGACTCATTTGAATGTAAATTGACAGCTCTCTCCTGATCCAGGATCCTGGTCTCGTCTGAAGCTTTTATTTTCCTCCTTTCATTCTTTCGTTCCTTCCTGGCATCAGAGCCTCTAATGAAATGACACATCTATTATTCATCAATGAGGTATTATATTAGGAAAACGTTTAGCCAGCGTGAATTTGGATTATTAATAAGCTACAACACATTATAATACTGTAGAGAATGGTGACAGTGCAAGACCCCTTGTATGTCACACGGGTCTCCCAGCCTGTGGGGAAACTCACTAATTATTTTGTTTTCATCACATATCACAATGGATATGTGAGCTATATAGTGTTGCACATGTTTATGCATATTGTGATATTCTTTGTAAATGTCATTAATGCACAATACAGACATAACTAGGCGAGCTACAAGCTAACATGCAGTTAACTCCCAGACTCCCAGACAGTTGTTTATCTGGGTTTCTATTTGTTGGTTTATTTGTTTGTTTGCATGAACAAATTGGTTGTTGCCAAGTGGGACAGTGAACATATGTACTGTATCCTGAGGGCATCTCTACTGCAGCATTCTGGGAGATATTCACCATGCCATGCCTGTGAGTGAAACATGGCTAGCGCTTTGTTGCTAGCCAAATCCTCACCGGGGAAGGTTTACTGTAGTGTGCATTGGGTATCACTGCATCACAAAGAATATATTAATATGAATCATATTCAGTAATAGAGATGTGCATGGTCATATTGTATGGTGGATGTGTATAGAGAGAGGGAGAGAGAGAGAGGGAGAGAGAGAGAGAGAGAGAGAGAGAGAGAGAGAGAGAGAGAGAGAGAGAGAGAGAGATAATTGCTTGTTACATGTTTCCATTGAACTATCTTGTGTCTATAAAAACTGCTGGACGTAATGACGTCACACACAAACAAAAAACTGTGTCTAATATAAATCAAGTGGTTGAAGTGTTTCCATTTAGGCAAATTGCGCATTCGTAAATTGGTGACAGCCTGTATACCCTCCCACCTATCTGTTTCATGTCTCAGGTAGGCCATGAAAGCCAGCATGGATAGAATACAATAATTGACTAATATTTGCCATATTCTAATAATTCTCATGTGCCAACATATTGCCACGGGCTGTGCCATGGTGAAACTTGCGCTGTAGATCTGAAATAATTAGATGGTGAAACTTGAATCAGGTCAACCAGAAAAGCAAGGTGAAGCAATTCAGGCATTCTTGAAAGTCAGGACAAGGATAGCAAATGTTGATTTTGATTTTGCAAGCAGTAGGCATTTATAGTTCAACGTGGAGTGGAGCTTTTTAGTTAGGCCTACGTGATGACATCTCGTACCCCACATACCTTCAGAATTATTTGGCAATCATGTATTCAAAAAACATAGTTCCCATCATCAATAAAGACAGTTAGACAAAATGAAAAAACACCTCTGTTGAACTGTAAAAATGTTGACGATCTTTAGAACATTTCTCCTATATCTGCCGTTTCCATTACACGTATATACGTATATAAATTAACCTATTATACAGTGGGGAAAAAAAGTATTTAGTCAGCCACCAATTGTGCAAGTTCTCCCACTTAAAAAGATGAGAGAGGCCTGTAATTTTCATCATAGGTACACGTCAACTATGACAGACAAAATGAGAAAAAAAAATCCAGAAAATCACATTGTAGGATTTTTAATGAATTTATTGGCATATGATGGTGGAAAATAAGTATTTGGTCAATAACAAAAGTTTCTCAATACTTTGTTATATACCCTTTGTTGGCAATGACACAGGTCAAACGTTTTCTGTAAGTCTTCAAAAGGTTTTCACACACTGTTGCTGGTATTTTGGCCCATTCCTCCATGCAGATCTCCTCTAGAGCAGTGATGTTTTGGGGCTGTCGCTGGGCAACACAGACTTTCAACTCCCTCCAAAGATTTTCTATGGGGTTGAGATCTGGAGACTGGCTAGGCCACTCCAGGACCTTGAAATGCTTCTTACGAAGCCACTCCTTCGTTGCCCGGGCGGTGTGTTTGGGATCATTGTCATGCTGAAAGACCCAGCCACGTTTCATCTTCAATGCCCTTGCTGATGGAAGGAGGGTTTCACTCAAAATCTCACGATACATGGCCCCATTCATTCTTTCCTTTACACGGATCAGTCGTCCTGGTCCCTTTGCAGAAAAACAGCCCCAAAGCATGATGTTTCCAACCCCATGCTTCACAGTAGGTATGGTGTTCTTTGGATGCAACTCAGCATTCTTTGTCCTCCAAACATGACGAGTTGAGTTTTTACCAAAAAGTTATATTTTGGTTTCATCTGACCATATGACATTCTCCCAATCCTCTTCTGGATCATCCAAATGCACTTCAGACGGGCCTGGACATGTACTGGCTTAAGCAGGGGGACACGTCTCGCACTGCAGGATTTGAGTCCCTGGCGGCGTAGTGTGTTACTGATGGTAGGCTTTGTTACTTTGGTCCCAGCTCTCTGCAGGTCATTCACTAGGTCCCCCCGTGTGGTTCTGGGATTTTTGCTCACCGTTCTTGTGATCATTTTGACCCCACGGGGTGAGATCTTGCGTGGAGCCCCAGATCGAGGGAGATTATCAGTGGTCTTGTATGTCTTCCATTTCCTAATAATTGCTCCCACAGTTGATTTCTTCAAACCAAGCTGCTTACCTATTGCAGATTCAGTCTTCCCAGCCTGGTGCAGGTCTACAATTTTGTTTTTGGTGTCCTTTGACAGCTCTTTGGTCTTGGCCATTGTGGAGTTTAGAGTGTGACTGTTTGAGGTTGTGGACAGGTGTCTTTTATACTGATAACAAGTTCAAACAGGTATCGTTAATACAGGTAACGAGTGGAGGACAGAGGAGCCTCTTAAAGAAGAAGTTACAGGTCTGTGAGAGCCAGAAATCTTGCTTGTTTGTAGGTGACCAAATACTTATTTTCCACCATAATTTGCAAATAAATTCATTAAAAATCCTACAATGGGATTTTCTGGATTTTTTTTCCTCAATTTGTCTGTCATAGTTGACGTGTACCTATGATGAAAATTACAGGCCTCTCTCATCTTTTTAAGTGGGAGAACTTGCACAATTGGTGGCTGACTAAATACTTTTTTCCCCCACTGTACGTAGTATTTTTTTCTCGCAACATTGCTTTTGTCGATTAAACCTGGGTCAATGGAAACATGTCTACTGCAGGCCCTAAATCCTGCAGCGTGCTATGCATGCATTAACACAGCACAACACAGAGTGCAGATAACATAAATATGTCCTAGGGTTTACATGGATGCAGGGGGCCTTCATCTTGCACACCTCTGCTGCTACATTCGCAGACACACATACAAAGAAGGCAGACTGGTCCCTTATTCTTGCACACCTGCTGTGACATTCACAAAAGCATACCCAATTTGATCCCCCGCGGTCGATACGCCAATTGTCATCCATGAGAGAGGGAACGCGAGAGGCCGTGAAAAAAGAGTGAGAGAGAGAGAGAGAGAGAGGAGAGAGAGAGAGAGAGAGAGAGAGAGAGAGAGAGAGAGAGAGGAGAGAGAGAGAGAGAGAGAGAGAGAGAGAGAGAGAGAGAGAGAGAGAGAGAGAAAGTGAGAGATAATATCTAGGACAGAATAAACAACTCACCGTGCATCACAACATGTTCTCCTCTAACAAAATAATTTCAATTCACCCTTCACTGACTGACTGTCACTGGTTGGTTAGTGAGGGAATATGGTAGTGGGTGAGGGGAATACATAAATAGTGGTATCTATGCATACCCTGTACACTATGACAGCACACAATAAATTAACCATTGCAGGTCCCTGACCTTGTCTATAGATAATTAGGAGGCCACCCATGTTTCTATGACAAGGAGTCACCTTAGAGTGTTACATTTTCCAAATGCACCACAAACGTGACTAGAGTCAATGGAAATGCTTTCTATAGCTCAACAGTTAATAATTGGTGTTATTTCTATAAAGATCTGTATTATTATCCATGCGTTTTATCCAAACAGAAGCCGTGAAACCAACATATTTCCACATAATCTGGCAATTCTAGTTAGTCACCCATTTTATTTTCTCCATAAAGGAAGAAAATAATAATACTTATAATGTTTTATTGTCACACACAATACCCCATTTTTTGTTGTTGTTGCAGAAAACCAATAATACATCATTATAATGTAATACTATTTCTTCATGGCCAAGCTCTGCTCAACTAACTTACATTTTGTCAATTACAACTTGATGAACTGTGGGACTTTCCAACATCATGCATTCCATCTACAATAGCATAATACATCTAGATAACTGTATTATTACAACTCCCATTGCAGACAGTACATACACCATGGCAACATAATATCTGACAAATAAATAATTTCCTAAGGTTCCTCATCATCATCGTAATGTCAGGATATTAACCAGATCATCATGTATTGTTGTGGAGGAACATGCATCATCATCTGCTACAGCAGAAGGATCCCCAGAATAGATATGGTAAACGTTAACATGACCTCCAGACAACATTTCATTATGCTCTGTCCTTTACAGCCAACAACAATGAGTGGGGAACATCCAGGTTCAGTCTCAAATGGCACCCTATACCCTATGGACACTGGTCAAAAGCAGTGCACTATATATATGGAATAGGGTGTAATTTGGGACGCCGTCTCGGTCAGTGCCAGTCTGTTAACCCATCCTGACAGGCAGATAACATTCTACTGTGTTTCAACCACCACCACGCTGTGGGTTGATGAAAGGCCTGAACTGGGGACTAGGGAGTACTGAGGCCCAATGGCCTTGACATACTTCCATTGTTTGTGAGCTACATTATATGAGACAGACATACTTCCATCGTATTTTGTGCCGCAAGTATATAAAAAAAGACATTCCAAGATCCTGGAGGGAAGGACTGATGGTTTGTGTACTAGTTCAGTTTTAAAAGGGACATACCTCCATTGTTTGTCAGAGCACAGAATACCAACATTAAGCAGGGGCACGATTCTTTCCAGGTCATTGAAGATAGATAGAGTAGGAAGCATCTATCATGTTAACAACCTGGTTAGCTTACAACAGTTTGTTCTGTCCCTCTCTTAACATTTGCCAGCTACAATCTCACGTCTCATTGGCTGCAGATAATGAAAGTTTGCTGTAACAAACACAGGAACTCTTAAAAAAATGTCCTCAGCTGTTTTCTAATCTAGTGGACGAAGGACACACAGGCTATGGCGTGTCTTAAAATGGAAAAGAGCTGTCTAATAACGTCCCAAAGCAGTACAAGTCAACTACAGGTCAAATATCAACGTGATGGAAAGATTTTTGGCAACGGTCTCGGATCTTGGACTTGGAGTTGCCTGACAACTGATGCCTTTCTAATATCGATGCCGTACTGGAAACAAACTGAAACAAACACGCTATGGCGTGTCTTCGAATGGAATAGAGGGGCCTAAAAACGTCCGGAAAAAGTACAAGTCAACTGCAGGCCATACAAACGACAGCAAAGATCAATCAGAATTGTCTCCCTCTCAATCTTCCTGGTCTTGGACTTGGGTTAAGTGTCTAACCAATCGCTCTTTGACAGCAGCAGCTTGCCGGTGACGGTGTACAAAGGACTCTCTCCAGATGCTAAGCGAGCGAGTCTCCTCTCCGTTTGTCATGAATGAATCATGTACAGTTGAAGTCAGAAGTTTACATACACCGTCGCCAAATACATTTAAACTCAGTTTTTCACCAATTTCTGACATTTAATCCTAGTAAAAATTCCCTGTCTTAGGTCAGTTAGGATCACCACTTTATTTTAAGAATGTGAAATGTCAGAATATTAGTAGAGAGAATTATTTCTTTCAGTTTTTATTTCTTTCATCACATTCCCAGTGGGTCAGAAGTTTACATACACTCAATTAGTATTTGGTAGCATTGCCTTTAAATTGTTTAACTTGGGTCAAACGTTTCGGGTAGCCTTCCACAAGCTTCCCACAATAAGTTGGGTGATTTTGGCCCATTCCTACTGACAGAGCTGGTGTAACAGGTTTGTAGGCCTCCTTGCTCGCAAACACTTTTTCAGTTCTGCCCACACATTTCCTATAGGACTGAGGTCAGGGCTTTGAGATGGCCACTCCAATACCTTGACTTTGTTGTCCTTAAGCCATTTTGCCACAACTTTGGAAGTATGCTTGGGGTCATTGTCTATTTGGAAGACCCATTTGCGACCAAGCTTTAACTTCCTGACTGATGTCTTGAGATGTTGCTTCAATATATCCACATATTTTTCCTTCCTCATGATGCCATCTATTTTGTGAAGTGCACCAGTCTCTCCTGCAGCAAAGCACCCCCACAGCATGATGCTGCCACCCCCGTGCTTCACGGTTGGGATGGTGTTCTTCGGCTTGCAAGCTCCCCCCTTTTCCTCCAAACATAACGATGGTCATTATGGCCAAACAGTTCTATTTTTGTTTAATCAGACCAGAGGACATTTCTCCAAGAAGTACGATCTTTGTCCCCATGTGCAGTTGCAAACCGTAGTCTGGCTTTTTTATGGCGGTTTTGGAACAGTGGCTTCTTCCTTGCTGAGCGGCCTTTCAGGTTATGTCGATATAGGACTCGTTTTACTGTGGATATAGGTACTTTTGTACCTGTTTCCTCCAGCATCTTCACAAGTTCCTTTGCTGTTGTTCTTGGATTGATTTGCACTTTTTGCACCAAAGTACGTTCATCTCTAGGAGACAGAACGCGTCTCCTTCCTGAGCTGTATGACGGCTGCGTGGTCCAATGGTGTTTATCCTTGCATATTATTGTTTGTACAGATGAACGTAGTACCTTCAGGTGTTTGGAAATTGCTCCCAAGGGGGTGGCAGCATCATGCTGTGGGGGTGCTTTGCTGCAGGAGAGACTGGTGCACTTCACAAAATAGATGGCATCATGAGGAAGGAAAAATATGTGGATATATTGAAGCAACATCTCAAGACATCAGTCAGGAAGTTAAAGCTTGGTCGCAAATGGGTCTTCCAAATAGACAATGACCCCAAGCATACTCCACAAGCGCCGAATACAACAGGTGTAGACTTTACCGTGAAATGCTTACTTACAAGCCCTTTCCCAACAATGCAGAGTTAAAAAGTACAAAAACAGGAAATAGTAACACAATAAAATAACAATAACGAGATGATATACCTGGAGTACCGGTACTGAGTCAATGTGCTGGGGGTACCGGGTAGTTGAGGTAATATGTACATGTAGGTAGGTAAAAGTGACTATGCAAACAGGATAGATAATAAACATCGTAGCAGCAGCATATGTGAAGAGTGTGAAAGTGTGTCTATGTGTGAGTGTGTGTTTTGTGTGTGAGCGTTTGTAGTGTGTGTGTGTGTGCGTGTGTGCGTGTGTGCGTATGTGTGTGTTGGAGTGTCAGTGTAGTATTTGTGAGCGTGTGGGTCGAGTCCAGTGAGTGTGCATAGAGCTGGTGCAAGAGAGTCAGTGCAAATAAAAAGGGGGTCAATGCAAATAGTCAGGGCAGCCATTTGATTAACTGTTCAGTAGTCTTATGGCTTGGGGGTAGAAGCTTTTTGGAGTCTTTTGGTCCCAGACTTGGCTCTCCGATACCGCTTGCCGTGCGGTAGCAGAGAAAACAGTCTATGACTTGAGAGTCTTCAACCATTTTTAGGGCCTTCCTTTGACACCGCCTGGTATAGTCGTCCTGGATGGCAGGGAGCTCGGCCCTAGTGATGTACTGGGCCGTACACACTACCCTCTGTAGCGCCTTACGGTCGGATGCCAAGCAGTTGACAATATTTTAGGTTGACAATAATTCTACTACACAATTTCTGATACATCACATGCCTTTGTTTTATTTTCCTCCATAAGTAAATGCAGGATTCTGCCACATTTGCCATTCATTCATTCATTCTGCCATTCTGGAACTTCGAGGGTTTATAACATAACCCCTCCAGTAATTTAATAGGATATCTATGGTTTCACCTCCCTCCCCAAATAGGACATGAACACTTCATGGGCTCCCGAGTGGCGCAGCGGTCTAAGTCACTGCATCCCAGTGCTTGAAGCATCACGTCAAGGTGTGGCCGGTGTAGGCCGTCATTGTAAATAAGAAGTTGTTCTTAACTGACTTGCCTAGTTAAATAAAGGTAAAATAAAAAATAAGCTATGGCAAACATTTTAAGAATTACAGGAAATTATGTGTAAAACTGCAAAATGTTCTCTCAGCCTCATTGACAAATGTGTAGAATAGCATGAGATTAGCTATAACGCTGCACATTGTTTTCTCTGCCCCATGGTAATATGAGTAGAATTGCAGAAAATGTGCTTTAAAACAGCAACATTTTGTATCTGTGTCATGTCAAAATGTGTAAAATAGCATGAGATTAGCTACAGTATATTAGCTATTAGCTCCCGAGTGGCGCAGTGGTATAAGGCACTGCATCACAGTGCTAGCTGTGCCACTAGAGATCCTGGTTCGAATCCAGGCTCTGTCGTAGCCGACCGCGACCGGGAGACCCATGGGGTGGCGCGCAATTGGCCCAGGGTAGGGGAGGGAATGGCTGGCAGGGATGTAGCTCAGTTGATAGAGCATGGTGTTTGCAACGCCAGGGTTGTGGGTTCGATTCCCACAGGGGGTATGACATTTTTTTTATGTATGCACTTTAAGTTGCTCTGGATAAGAGCGTCTGCTAAATGACTAAAATTTAAAAATGTAAATATATCTTTGCCCCATGGTAGACCTTGCTCAGACCTTGTGGGGGGCCCCGCAAAACTGCGGTACACCACTGATTCATGGGTACGTAATTAGAGCCTATTGAGCCACACAGCGCATCTGTCCACAAGAGATTACAACCTTGTGACAGTTATTACTGAATGGATGCAGCTGAGAAGAAACTAAGCTGTCAGTCTGGTGAGAAGGAAAAGTCTGCCACATATAACGTCTGCGGTATTAAATTGCTCTTTCGCTTCCAGTTATGTCTTTCACATGAAATACTGATATAGATACTTATCAGTTCACTCACAGATTTACTACATGCCTTGTGGTCTGGAGTGTGATGCTCACTGCACACATGCTAATAACCAGCTGGGAGGGAAATACACTTGCAAACATAGTTTCTTGTAACTCTCTTCAGATTTTTAAGTAGGCTACTTACTGATAAATCCCATTTGAGCAGTCTGCATATAGCTGTGTGTGTTTCTGGATTTTGCATGGGTTTGGTGACATTGCAACATTTCCTCATTATTCCAAACTGATAAGAAACACATGCACACACACACACACACACACACACACACACACACACACACACACACACACACACACACACACACACACACACACACACACACACACACACACACACACACACTCTTTTGAGATGATCCATAACAAGTCTTACCTCCGTAGAAGACAGGTTCCCCTCCGAAGACAGATGCATCTGGAAGACAGTTAAGAGAGAGGGAGAGACAAGCCAGGTCAGCATATTCATTTTGAAGATCCATTACATTGTTGAAATTTTTGCATATTGGAGAAAGCAAACAGATATCAATTTCTCTGGTGCCATTGCTGAAAGTTCCTCCACCATGCACCTGTCTGGTTGAAAGCCTCCTTTCCTACCCAGCCTCCCGACACAAGCCTCTCCCAAGGGGGTGTGATACTTAGGCTACTCCCGTGGAGTACTGCACTGCTTGGCCCCCATCTTTCAGACTGCTCCCAATTACCCAGTCCTGCTCCCCCTGTCTGGTACAAGCACCCCCACCACTTGCCCCCTTCTCCCCCGAGCGTCGCTCACCGCTCCAGCACACACTTACAGGTGCACACATACATTACATCCGCACACATGCACACCCAAAAATCTGAGGGTGCACAAAGTATGTGACGAATATCATAATTAGTTGATTAGTTTGAATCAATTGTGTATACTGTGGCTCTCTAGGAACAGTTGACCACACATTTAGATTTAGAAGGCCTAAGTCCCAGTTTATTCTAGCTAAATCATTTGTTTATATAGCATTTATACAAGGCAGAAACATTGTTTCCTTGCTGAAAAATATATAAATATATATATTTCCAAAGCCAAACCAGCCCATTAGCCGCTGTCTACCTTTTAAGATGTTTTCAGTAGTTGTTTTCCGTATCCTAATTGTATTTTTATTTTGTGTTTTCTGATTATTTCAGTGCATGCATTCAACAAGCTTTGGACGGACTTCTCCAAATTTTCCTCAAAAAGGTAATAGTTCTGATTTGGGTTTGATTTAGTTAATTACTTTATTTAGCTAATTATGTGACTTCTGGAGGTAATTTGTTGCACCAGATCTTATTTAGGGGCTTCATAACAAAGGGGGTGAATACATATGCATGCACCACTTTTCCGTTATGAATTTTTTTGAATTTTTTGAATCAAGTTATTTTTTTCATTTCACTTCACCAATTTGGACTATTTTGTGTATGTCCATTACATGAAATCCAAATAAAAATCCATTTAAATTACAGGTTGTAATGCAACAAAATAGGAAAAACGCCAAGGGGGATGAATACTTTTGCAAGGCACTGTAGCTAGTTATGAGGTTAGCAGATTGGGAATCTATCTGCGCTACCTAAAGCCTACTTCGTAAAATTGCTTGGTGACTAGTAGTACTACAAAGAAACAACAAAACAATAAATCCATATATATATATATACAGTGGGGAGAACAAGTATTTGATACACTGCCGATTTTGCAGGTTTTCCTACTTACAAAGCATGTAGAGGTCTGTAATTTTTATCATAGAATCTAAAACGGAATCTAAAACAAAAATCCAGAAAATCACATGTATGATTTTTATGTAATTAATTTCCATTTTATTGCATGACACAAGTATTTGATACATCAGAAAAGTATTTGATCACCTACCAACCAGTAAGAATTCCGGCTCTCACAGACCTGTTAGTTTTTCTTTAAGAAGCCCTCCTGTTCTCCACTCATTACCTGTATTAACTGCAGCTGTTTGAACTCGTTACCTGTATAAAAGACACCTGTCCACACACTCAATCAAACAGACTCCAACCTCTCCACAATGGCCAAGACCAGAGAGCTGTGTAAGGACATCAGGGATAAAATTGTAGACCTGCACAAGGCTGGGATGGGCTACAGGACAATAGGCAAGCAGCTTGGTGAGAAGGCAACAACTGTTGGCGCAATTATTATAAAATGGAAGAAGTTCAAGATGATGGTCAATCACCCTCGGTCTGGGGCTCCATGCAAGATCTCACCTCGTGGGGCATCAATGATCATGAGGAAGGTGAGGGATCAGCCCAGAACTACACGGCAGGACCTGGTCAATGACCTGAAGAGAGCTGGGACCACAGTCTTAAAGAAAACCATTAGTAACACACTACGCCGTCATGGATTAAAATCCTGCAGCGCACGTAAGGTCCCCCGTGCTCAAGCCAGCGCATGTCCAGGCCCGTCTGAAGTTTGCCAATGACCATCTGGATGATCCAGAGGAGGAATGGGAGAAGGTCATGTGGTCTGATGAGACAAAAATAGAGCTTTTTGGTCTAAACTCCACTCGCCATGTTTGGAGGAAGAAGAAGGATGAGTACAACCCCAAGAACACCATCCCAACCGTGAAGCAGGGAGGTGGAAACATCATTCTTTGGGGATGCTTTTCTGCAAAGGGGACAGGACGACTGCACCGTATTGAGGGGAGGATGGATGGGGCCATGTATCGCGAGATCTTGGCCAACAACCTCCTTCCCTCAGTAAGAGCATTGAAGATGGGTCGTGGCTGGTTCTTTCAGCATGACAACGACCCGAAACACACAGCCAGGGCAACTAAGGAGTGGCTCCGTAAGAAGCATCTCAAGGTCCTGGAGTGGCCTAGCCAGTCTCCAGACCTGAACCCAATAGAAAATCTTTGGAGGGAGCTGAAAGTCTGCATTGCCCAGCGACAGCCCCGAAACCTGAAGGATCTGGAGAAGGTCTGTATGGATGAGTGGGCCAAAATCCCTGCTGCAGTGTGTGCAAACCTGGTCAAGAACTACAGGAAACGTATGATCTCTGTAATTGCAAACAAAGGATTCTGTACCAAATATTAAGTTCTGCTTTTCTGATGTATCAAATACTTATGTCATGCAATAAAATGCAAATGTATTACTTAAAAATCATACAATGTGATTTTCTGGATTTTTGTTTTAGATTCCGTCTCTCACAGTCGAAGTGTACCAATGATAAAAATTACAGACCTCTACATGCTTTGTAAGTAGTAAAACCTGCAAAATCAGCAGTGTATCAAATACTTGTTCTCCCCACTGTATATATATTTTTTAAATAGGACAAATCTGATATGGGCATGATGCCTCTGCATGCACACACCGTGGTCTCTGATCCGAATTGTATCTTTAGCCTGTGGACTTTAACTCGGGATCTTGCATTTAGATTTGTAATACTTGGTTATCTTATTGTAGCTTATTTTATTGTAGCTTAGGCTATTTTGTGATTAGTGTGCAACCTCATAGGCATACTATTTTAGATCTGAATCTTAGAAAACTTTTTATGGTTATTTCTCATGTTGATTGATAGGCTACAAATGAACATGTTGCTGTTGCTATTGTTGCTATTGGTGCTATTGTGACTCTTACACTGAGGATGATGCATTTAGGGCCCGACGCCCTAACCATGTCTCTGGACTGCACTCACCTTTTGAAATACACTACACGACAAAAGTATGTGGACACCTGCTCGTTGAACGTCTCATTCCAAAATCATGGGCATTAATATAGAGTTGGTCCCCCCTTTGCTGCTATAACAGCCTCCACTCTACTGGGAAGGCTTTCCACTAGATGTTGGAACATTGCTGCGGGGACTTGCTTCCATTAAGCCACAAGCGCATTAATGAGGTTGGGCACTGATGTTGGCGATTAGGCATGGCTCGCAGTTGGCGTTCCAATTCATCCCAAAGATATTTGATGGGGTTGAGGTCAGGGCACTGTGCAGGCCAGTCAAGTGCTTCCACACCGACCTCAACAAACCATTTCTGTATGGACCTCACCTTGTGCACAGGGGCATTGTCATGCTGAAACAGGAAAGGGTCTTCCCCAAACTTTGCCACAAAGTTGGAAGCACAGAATAATCTAGAATATCATTGTATGTTGTAGCGTTAAGATTTCCCTTCACTGGAACTAAGGGGCCTAGCTCGAACCATGAAAAACAGCCCCAGACCATTATTCCTCCTCCACCAAACTTTACAGTTTGGTGGTCCTCTGTAGCAAACTCCACCAAACTTTACAGTTTAGTGGTCCTCTGTAGCTCAGCTGGTAGAGCACGGCGCTTGTAACGCCAAGGTAGTGGGTTCGATCCCCTGGACCACCCATACACAAAAATTTATGCACGCATGACTGTAAGTCGCTTTGGATAAAAGCGTCTGCGAAATGGCATATTATATATTATATTATTATATCACTATGCATTCCGGCAGGTAGTGTTCTCCTGGCATCTGCCAAACCCAGATTTGTCCGTCTGACTGCCAGATGGTGAAGCGTGATTCATCACTCCAGAGAACGCGTTTCCACTGCTCCAGAGTCCAATGTCGGTGAGCTTTACACAGCTTCCGCCGACGCTTGGCATTGGAGCATGGTAATCTTAGGCTTTTTTTAAATTTATTTTTATCTTAGTCTTGTGTGCGGCTACACGGCCATAGAAACCCATTTCATGAAACTCCTGACGAACAGTTATTGTGCTGACAGTTCAGTTTGGAACTTGGTAGTGAGTGTTGAAATCAAGGACAGACGATTTTTACGCACTCCGCGCTTCAGCAATCGGCAGTCTGTGAGCTTGTGTGGCCTACCACTTCGCGGCTGAGCCGTTGTTGCTCCTAGACGTTTCCACTTCACAATAACAACACTTACAGTTGACCGGGGCAGCTCTAGCAGGGCAGAAATTTGTCGAAATGACTTGTTGGAAAGGTGGCATCCTTTGACGGTGTCACGCTGAAAGTCACTGAGCTCTTCAGTAAGGCCATTCTACTGCCAATGTTTGTCTATGGAGATTGCATGGCTGTGCGCCCGATTTTATACACCTGTCAGCAACGGGTGTGGCTGAAATAGCCGAATCCACTAATTTGAAGGGGTGTCCACATACTTTTGTATAAATATATGTTGTGATAAAGACTGGTTTCTCTGGACTATGGTTCTATTACTGTCTGTGAATCCAAATGTTTGTAAATATATATAGATCTATATTGATATAGACTTGCTATTATTTTGCTGCTTTTACTGTCAGGAAATGTGCAATCTAACCCAATTCCTGACATTTCTGAATGAAAGAAGTATTCTTCCAAAACTTGATTTTCTGAATATTTGGATAAAAACCGCAGACCCAGATGTATTTATGCTTTCTGAAACCTGCCTCAGAAAATCTAGCACTGACAAAGACATTGGCATTGATGGCTACAATGTCAAATCTGAATTTGTGCTCATGGGTGACCTGAACATAGACTGGTTGACATCCAGCTCTGATCAACTCAAGAATTTATGTTTTACCTATAATCTTACTCAGATTGTTAACAATGTAACAAGATTGAATGCAAAGTGTCCTCTGAAATCCTCTTTGTTTGATCTTATTTTAACCAACACTCCACATTGTTTTAATGCTTCTGGTGTTTTTGCAAATTATATAAGTGATCACTGTGCTGTTGTTTGTGTAAGGGATGGTAAAATTCCTAAACTACCTCCATGTATCATCATGAAAAGAAACTGGAAGCGGTTTGATAGTCAGGGTTTTTTACATTATGTTTTGAATATTGCCCGGAATAGAGTTGAATTCATCCCTGATGTTGAATGAGCTTTTTCTTACTTCCATAAAGCATTCCAGGATGTATGCAACAAGTATGTCCATTCAAATAATACTGAATTAAGTGCAGAGACAACCCTTGGTTCTGAGACAAACTTGCTGAAATCATAAGGAATGGAATGCTTTGTGGGCTAAAGCAAGAAGGTCTAATTCCGCTGATGATTGGATGGCTTTTAAATGCCTTCGGAATCAGGGTGTGGCTATGACCCGAAAGCTGAAAGCAGACCACTACCTCAAATCTCCTGTGTATAATCTGAATAATCCTTCCAAATTTGGCAAGTAGTGAAAGGTTTAGAGTGCAAAAAAGATGCACAGCTCCCTAAACAACTGCTGGTTGACTCACAGGTGGTAATTTATGCAGGTGGATTTTCTTGACGCAGGCGGAATAGTTGATAGGGTTAAAGGTCAACATGAACCCCCTGTGAAATTACCTGACACTCCCGAGCACTCCTTCTCCAGGTTCTCCTTCTCACCCTTCTCTGTCTCAGAGGTGCGTAGAGCCCTGAAAGCAATTAATGTAAAAAAAATCCCCTGGCCCTGATGATCTATACCCCTGCCTACTTCATTTAGCTGCAGAAATCATTGCTCTCCCTTTAACATGCCTTTAACCTCACCATAGAATGTAATGAAAGTTGCAGAAATCAGCATTTGTCCTACCTCTTTTGAAAGGAGGTGATCCCACTCTACTGAATAACTTTCGGCCCATATCTAAGTTTTCTATTCTGGCAAAGGTATTGGAGTCCCTAGTCAATAAGCAGATTAAGGCCTACCTCCAGGAAAACAGCATTTTGAGTGATATGCAATCAGGTTTCAAGTCTAGCCACAGCACTGTCACAGCAACTTTGAGGGTTTTGAATGATATTCACTGTGCCCTGGATAATAAGCTGCATTGTGTATCTGTATTCATAGACTTGTCAAAGGCATTTGACACTGTGGACCATACTGTCTTGGTGCAGAGATTGAAGTGTACTGGGATTACTGGTCATGCTCTGGAGTGGTTTGAGAACTACCTGTCAAATGGAACCCAGTGTGTTAAGGCATATGGTTATAAGTTGGACACCGTAGAGTTGAGCTCGGGTGTGCCTCAAGGATACATTTTAGGTCCCCTGCTGTTTATTATCTATATCAACAACATATTGAGACAGCTGATGTACATTTTTATGCGGATGACACTGTTCTCTATTCAAGTGGTAGCAGTTTGACTTTGGCTTCTGAAAAAGCTCAAACAGCTTTTAACATCAATAGAATCAGTACGATTTGAAGCTCGCTCTGAATTCCTCTAAAACAAAATGCACTGTATTTTCCAATACTAAACACTAAAAAACATATAATTACTACCTTGGAAGGACATTCTATAGAGCAAGTCAAAATGTACAAATATCTGGGAGTTTGGGTGGATGAGGAGTTGAGCTTCACCACCCATTTAGAGAACCTTGTCAGGAAACTCAATCTGAGTATTGGGTTTTATTACTGGCACAAAGCTTGTTTACCTTTGCTGCCAGAAAAGAGTTGATTTGTTGTACCTTTCTCTCTGTGTTGGACTATGGTAATACTATTTATGTGCAAGCCTCAAGCTTTACACTGATGGCTCTTTACTCTGTGTATCATGCAGCCCTTTGTTTTATTACCAATCAGAGACGTCTAACTCACCATTGTGATCTCTACAGTGCTGTCGAGTGGACAGCACCATGCAGGCTCAAACACGGATACATTTTTATTTAGGCTCAGATCTAAATCATGTTTCATGCTAACAGTCCCAAAAGGTTTTACTGATCATGGAAAAAGGACCTTTCATTACTCAGCCCCCTGGTCTTGGAATTCTCTCCAAGCCAACCTAAAACTCCAGGACCTCCCTCTCCGAGCCGGTTCCAGTCATGGGCCTGGACAGCCAGGCTGTTGGGGTCGGGCTTCATCACCCAGCGCACTGTCCCTGTGCGTGTCCGGGTGGCGGGGGGGCTATGGGAGGATATCCAGTTTTTCATTGTGGACTCTCTGGAGTGTCCCCTCGTCCTCGGGCACACCTGGCTGGTCGCCCACAAACCCCGGATAGACTGGTCCATGGAGCGGCTCATCCTGGAGGGAGGCTCCGCTCAAGTCCTGTTCCGGTCTCCACGACCACTCATCAGCCCAAACCACCGTCCCAGACCACCTACCAGTCCTCACCCTTTCCCCAGGTCCCGCACTCCGAACCACCTACCGCCCTAGCAGTGGTTGCCACCGGGAGGATGGCTGCTACAGACTCCATCACCGGCCCAGACCTGGCAGGCGTTCCCCGGGAGTATTGGGATCTGGGGGAGGTGTTATGTAAGAGGCGTGCCAAGGGCCTACCTCCTCACAGGCCATACAACTGCGCTATCGATCTCCTGCCGAGCGCCATGCCCACACGAGGGCGATTGTTTTTCTTGTCCCAGCCGGAGACCCTGGTCATGAGGGAGTATATCGACGAGGCACTCGTCGAGGGTCACATCCGTCCCTCTACCTCACCTGCGGGCGCGGGCTTCTTCTTCGTGGGGAAAAAGGATGGTGGGCAGTGGCCGTGCATTGATAACCGGGTGCTCAACAACATCACGGTTAAGAACCGCTACCTACTCCCCCTGATGACGACGGCATTCGAGTCATTGAAGGGAACCCGGGTCTTCACCAAGCTGGTGAGGATTCGGGAGGGGGACGAGTGGAAGACGGCTTTTAACACACCCAGTGGGCATTACGAGTACCAAATCATGCCGTTCGGTCTAGCCAACGTGCCTGTGGTGTTCCAGGCGTTGGTCAATGACGTGCTCCGGGACCTCCTCGATTACAGCGTCTTCGTGTATTTGGATGACATCCTAATATTTTCGAAGGACATGAGTGAACACCAGCAGCATGTTCAGCAGGTCCTCCAAATCCTTCTCTGTCACCAGCTCTACGTCAAGGGGGAGAAGTGTGTGTTCCACAGAGAGACAGTCTCCATCCTGGGGTTCATCGTCACTCAGGGGGACCTATGGATGGACCCAGCCAAGGACAGCGCGGTACTGGATTGGCCCCAGCCCTCATCCCTCAAGCAACTCCAACGGTTTTTAGGATTCGCTAATTTTTATAGCCGATTTATTTGCAATTTTAGCTACCTAGCTGCTCCCCTGACAGCCCTCACCCAGATGTGCGTGCGCTCCTTCGAACGGGCAGACGGAGCGCGTCAACCAGGATCTGGAGGGGGTGCTGAGGTTCTACGCCTCCAGCAACCCAGCTACATGGAGTCAGCGACTGGCGTGGGCGGAGTACGCCCACAAGACCCTTCTCTGCTCATCCACCAGCCTGTCCCCCTTCCAGTGCCAATACGGGTACCAACCCCCCCTATTCCCCGAGCAAGAGGAGGAGGCGGCGGTCCCGTCGGTCCAGGCCCACATCAGTCGCTGTCGCCGCACCTGGAGGCAGGTACGGGCGGCGCTTAAGCAGGCCTCAGTCAGGTCTCAACATCAGGCCAACCGCAGGCGTCGCCCGGGGGGGGCACTCTTACAGGAGGGGGTCGCAGTTCTGGAGTGACCCACTAGGTGTCATCCTCCGACAACTTTAGGCACCTCCTCACTCACAATCTGGACTAATCATGATCCTATTGGTGTCACCTGTGTCTCTCTGTTCACCTGTGTATTTATGCCCTCACTTCCCTGTGTTCCCTTGCTCAGTGTTCTCTGCTAGTTTCTCTATGTCCAGCAGTACTACTCAGTGTCTGATCGGAGACCTATGTACAGGTACTTGAGAAGTGTTCTCCCTGTTTCGTTATTTGTTTCTGTCTTAGGTAGTATTTTGTATTTTGGTTGTCAGATGTTTTTTGAAGACTTATTTGCTCCACCTTTCTTTTATTGTGATAAGTCCGTTATTTTGTATTCTGGTTTCAGGACCACCAGTAACGATCCTTGTTTCACCATCTCTGCCTACTGCCTACTGTTTATCCTGCACCGCACCTGGGTCACACCTCACCGCAACCCTTACACAGGAGGCCTTTTGCCTCATGCCAGGCCGTCATTGTAAATAAGAATGTGTTTTGCCTAGTTAAATAAAGGCTAAATAACAAATATTAAGATCAACAGTGTGCTGGAGTTTACTTCTATTCAGCATATTCATCCATCACTGTTATGGGAACAGCAAGGTTAATATTGCAGCAAATTAAACTTCTCACCGCCCAGTATATACAGTGTTTACTGTCACTGGCTTTCTATCTATCTCTCCTTCTGTATGAAGCAAGGGGTTAAAGGTGACATTGTTATACATTGCAAGCTTACTGAATGATGCTTGCAGTGAGATTTGACTTGTCTTTTGAATACACTGCTCTGTACATTTCTGTCCCTGTTGCATTATAGAATATGTGACAATCACAGTGATCGGCATTGACTGAAGGCTACAGATTCAAACAATCACACTGAGAGAAATCTCTTACATCCTCAACATGGTCAGCTTGTGTTTGATGTGATGAAAGAAAGCTAGAAATCTGAACACTGTTGAATGTTGCTGCAGTTTTATTGTGCAAAGGTATTCGTCAGGCTTGAGTTTGATGTCACAGCATGTAAAATGACATGAGACATACAGTACTGAGGTATTGTCCAATAAGAGCCTTGGTAGGGCGGAGAATCAGATGGTCAACAGCGAAGAAATAGAATGAATAGAACGGACATTTCTATTCAATAGAACAGACATTTCTATTCAAGTCAATGTTCAGTGATGGACTTTGTCCCTTCTAGTGACTCTATTTCTATGGTCAACAGTGATTATCAGCCCTCTGCCCAAACAGACAGTAGCCCTCTGCAGACTTCCTTCTCCACGGTCTTGATTATGTCTTAGTTTACGTAACTACAACAACGACATTACATTAATCATCAGATTAACTTCCTCCTTGTTGGCTCGCAACAGCGATGTCAAAGCGATGTCCCTTGGCCATAGTGATGACTATTTATGCATGCGGATCTGTTGTGTTTCGGAAGAGGCAGGATCAGGCAGGCATACAGCAAAAAGTGATGGGGTGGTGGTGCGATGCCCTGGGCCAGGCACACACACACACACACACACACACACACCCTGTTGTCATTGCCTGTGGGTGAAGTCGAAGCATGACTCTTGCACCTCTTCCTATGAACAAATGTAATCTCCACCATCCCAATCTGTTGAAGGATATGTGTTGTGAAGTAGTGAGAACGCCAGAGTCCAAACAACACATTCTTTGCTTCAGCTGAATTGAAATCTAAACTTCTGAAGAGGTTGTCTGGGGTTACACAACACAGACAGATCTTTTCTATCTGCCTGCACATACAGTGGATAGTAGCTTGGCCTTGACTGCATCCCAAAAAGCAGCAATTCAATGGACAAGACACATTCTATTTCACCTGCAGTTAAGCTGAAGATGAGACTGGTACATTTTTCACACTATCGTGCCGGCCCGAACTAAACTGTGCTAGCTAGCTCTGATATTTCACTTTATTTTCAGTAAAGTTCCAGACCCTACAGCGACTGCATAACCAGGCCAGCACAGTACAGCTTGGTTTGGCTCGGCTCGGTAGTGTGAAAAGCCCTAGAGTGTGATTACCATATGACACTCACCAGTGGAAGGGAGAGTGAGGGACAGGAGGAGGAGGAGCACAGTGAGGTGCGGCATGTTGCTCTGTGTAGAACCTCCTGAGGTGATGCTTAGAACCACAGCTGATGTTGAAACATTAGCAGGACAGGCTGCTTTTCCTGCAAGAGAGACAGAGACAGAGAGTGGAGAGAGATGTACTGTAACTAGCCGAGTCAACACATTGCACCACTAAAACATGACCGTAACATTGCATCATGTAGCCCATTCATTTCTTTAAAGACGCCTCATTAAATCAAGTTATTTTATGGCTGGTTATGACACCTACATAAGAGTGTCAAAATTCACAAAACCTACGTGTCAACAGTATGTTTATGTTAGATACTTTTTTTTTTTTTTTTGACCATATTAAATCACTTTAATTAGTGTAGATGAAGGGGAGGAGACAAGTTAAATAAAAAATGTTAAGCCTTGAGACAATTGAGACATGGATTGTGTATGTGTGCCATTCAAAGGGTGAATGGGCTAGACGAAAGATTTAAGTCCCTTTGAACAACAGGGTATGGTAGTAGGTGCCAGGCACACCGGTTTGTGTCAAGAACTGCACCGCTGCTGGATCTTACCCACTCAACAGTTTCCCGTGTGTATCAAAAATGGTCTACCACCCAAAGGACATCTAGCCAACTTGACACAACTGTGGGAAGCATTGGATTCAACATGGGCCAGCATCCCAGTGGAACACTTTCAACACCTTGTAGAGTCTATGCCCCGACAAATTGAGGCTGTTCTGAGGGCAAAGGGGTGGGGGATCATATTGACTACATGTCATACCCTACAATTGAACAGCACTAGTCATGCCCAGTTAGACAACTCTGGTAGAGTACAGTACTAGTATCCTTTCCACTATTCATGTCATTGGCCCTGAACAACAGTACTGATCATGTCAGCCTTCTAGGCACCACAGCAGGAGACCATCTCCCTGTCTTCCTTAACAGGTTGTCAACACCATGATTGACTGGTCCATGGTTGTCACAAGCAACCACCCTCCCTGAGCGCTGTTTTAGCTGAGTGGGCCATCGCTGAACACTCAGTCACTATGTGCCCCCCAGACCACAGTCAGAGACGACCTGGAGCGTACTGTGACATGATCAACCCATCGCCAAGGAAACACAATATGACAAGCAACAGCTGTTTCAGCAACACTCTAGAATGCGCTCCTTGCAGACAGCGGAACAGCAGAACAGAACAGCGCAGCGGCATCTCCCTGGAGACGTCTGCCATAGCGACAGACAGGCTCAGGTAATGATGCTCGTCACAAGGCACTTCATAAAACACCACCAGGGGGTTAAAAATGATGGATTGCATGCTTGTTCATCAGATAATAAAAGCATTTGTATTGTTATCAATACGTTTCCACTGCCTTAATTCATTTACATTTACATTTACATTTTAGTCATTTAGCAGACGCTCTTATCCAGAGCGACTTACAGTTAGCACATACATTATTTTATCGAACCCACAACCCTGGCGTTGCAAACGCCATGCTCTACCAACTGAGAGTCACGTTCGTCGAAGGAGGAGGACCAAGGCGCAGCGTGAAATGCAAACATATTTTACTTTATTTAATAACTGAATAACACGAACAAAACAACAAACGATAATGTGACGTCCTAGGTCTAACACAACCAACACGGAACAAGATCCCACAACCACTGTGGGAAAACAGCCTGTCTAAATGTGGTTCCCAATCAGAGACAACCAGCAACAGCTGACACTCGTTGCCTCTGATTGAGAACCACACTGGCCAACATAGAAATACTTAACCTAGAATGTAAAACACAAGAAAACTCACACCCTGGCTCAACATACTAGAGTCCCCAGAGCCAGGGCGTGACAGTACCCCCCCCCCAAAGGCGCGGACTCCGACCGCGCCAATCAAACACCACAGGGGAGGGACCGGGTGGGCACTCCGCCTTGGCGGCGGATCCGGCTCCGGGCATGATCCCCACTCCCTCTCTAACCCCCCAAAGTACCCCTGGTCCGGTCTGGCCCTGCTGGCCGGAGCTGGACTGAACAATGGTGGAGCGGATTGCTCTAGCTCCGGCGTGGAGCAGCTGACCGGTACCGGACCAGGCACCGGTGGAACAGGCACGGGCTGTGCCGGACTGACGACGCACACCATTGGCTTGGTGTGGGGAGCAGGGAACAGGCCGAGCCGGGCTGGCGACGTGCACCATAGCTTGGTGCGGGGAGCAGGAGCGGGCCGGACCGGGCTGACGAAGCGCACCACTGACTTGGTGCGGAGAGCAGGAATGGACCGGGCCGGGCTAGCGACGACGCACCATAGGCTTGTGCGGGGAGCAGGAGCGGGCCGGACCGGGCTGACGAAGCGCACCCATAGGCTATGGTGCGGGGAGCAGGAAACAGGCCGGGCCCGGGCTGGCGACGCGCACCATAGGCTTGGTGCGGGGAGCAGGAGCGGGACCGGCCGGTTTTGGCGACGCGCAACATAGGTTTGGTGCGGGGAGCAGGAACAGGCCGGATCGGGCTGACGAAGCGCCACCATAGGCCTGGTGCTGGGGAGGCAGGAACAGGCCGGGCCGGGGCTGGCCGAATGCCGCACCATAGGCTTGGTGCGGGGAGGCAGTGAACAGGCCGGGCAGTGGCTGGCGACGCTGCACCATAGGCTTCGTGGCGGGGATCAGGAACAGGCCGGGCTGACGGACACGCACCACAGGCTCAATGCGAGGAACAGGAACGGGCCGGACCGGACTGGTAACACACCCCAGTACCTCTCGCCGTGCCTCTACACTTTCCCTCTCCTCTGTGACCAGTGGCCCCCTTAACCTGGCGGCCTCCTCTGCAAACCCGCTGGACTGCTCCATCCCGTCGTCCACGGCGTGAGCCCCCCCCTAAAAAATTTTGGGGTGTCTCTCCTCCCCGTGGACCAAGCCTCCCTATCTCTCGCCAGACTCTTCCTCCACTGCTCCAAAGTCCAACCACTCTGCTCTTCATTTGGCTTGACCCAGTCGAGACTCTTCCTCCACTGCTCCCAAGTCCACCCTCTCTGCTCTTCACTAGGCTTGACCCAGTCGAGGTTGCCACGGAGATCCGCTAGCGATTCCCCTGGCGATGGCTCCTGGACACGCTGCTTGGTCCAGTTTTGGTGGGATCTTCTGTCACGTTCGTCGAAGGAGGAGGACCAAGGCGCAGCGTGAAATGCAAACATATTTTACTTTATTTAATAACTGAATAACACGAACAAAACAACAAATGATAATGTGACGTCCTAGGTCTAACACAACCAACACGGAACAAGATCCCACAACCACTGTGGGAAAACAGCCTGTCTAAATGTGGTTCCCAATCAGAGACAACCAGCAACAGCTGACACTCGTTGCCTCTGATTGAGAACCACACTGGCCAACATAGAAATACTTAACCTAGAATGTAAAACACAAGAAAACTCACACCCTGGCTCAACATACTAGAGTCCCCAGAGCCAGGGCGTGACACTGAGCTACATCCCCTGCCGGCCATTCCCTCCCCTACCCTGGACGACGCTGGGCCAATTGTGCGCCGCCCCATGGGTCTCCCATTTGAATTAGATACTGATTTCTAAGTATTAAATAGACCCTTTTCAGAGGACTACTTTATCAGCACCAAACGGCAGTTGAAATGCTGACAATAATAACATCAATCAACAACAACAACAATTATTCAGACAATGGATTCATATCCAAGCCATGCTGGATTGCTAACGCGCTAATGAGCTATTAGCATGAAATATTAGTGTATCTTCAGCAGGGGTTGGAACCAAAATTATTTTCCAATCATTTCGTTCTGAGCAGAACCATTCTTTTTTTTGTTTCATTACACTGTTCTGACCCACAAAACAAAGTTCTGAACCAGTCTGAAACAAAAAACTGTAATGGTTTATATAATTCCTTTCTGTTCCTTTTAAAACCTCTGAAACAGTTCCCTTGCTTTTAAAATAACAGCTCTGTTCCAGAACAGTATAGATCACTTTTGTTCCCGGTTCTGATTCTGTTCCTCAAAAAATGTTATTTTCCGGTTTTCTGTTCTGTTCCCTGAACTGGTTCCAACCCCTGATCTTCAGTGTAATTGCCCAACAACAGGGCGAATATTGATTAGTTCTGCTCTGCCTGCCTGGGGTATCAGTTGGTGGACTGGAGAGTGAAAAAGAGAGGTGGCATTAGGATGAAGATCTCAAAGCAGCTCTCTCTCTCTCTCCAGAGGAAGATGCTGAGCTCATCAAACACTACCTCTCCCTCAACTAACCCTGACCAGGACTAAATGGGATTAACTGGTCTGATATGAGAGGCTGTGCATCATACTGGTCCAGTCACGGGGACACACACAGATGCAGATGACACAGACACACACACACACAGACACACACATAACATAATGTCTGAGCTTTGCAGCTGGAGAAACGAAACACAGAGGGGATTTCATCTCCGCTGCGCTCGTATCCTAGCAACACATTTGAAAAGGAGCAGTTGTGTGTTTGCAGGGGGCTTTTTGTGAACGTGGATAAAAACTATGCAAACTCTAATTTTAATCCAGAACGCCATTGTTGCTAGGGACCTAGGCCTGTTTTCATAAAGTCTTAAAGTAGGAGTGCTGATCTAGGATCAGTTCCACTCCTACTCTGAGACACTTCATGAATACAGTTTGATCCAGCCCCAGGTCATTCATTCTAGGCCCACAACAAAACAATATGATACAGTAAAAGGCTCTCAACAGCCAGCACAACAACCCAGAGACTCTCATACACTGCAAACAGCTGGGATCCTCATTTTTACAGCATTATTAAGTTATGATTCATGAATGAATTTAAGAAGTGCACCTAGGAGAGGATATGCAGAGGCAGATTCTAGAATAGATCTATCAAATATATATTTCACATAGACCTATTACAACCTGGATAGTTGTTGGTCCCTCAAATTCATTGAGAGATTTAAGCAGGCATCTAAGTGCCGGCGCCTGGCTTTCTTTTTCCTGGGGAATGTATCAGAGTATGAGCTAGAATCAAATAGTCAGCAGAGGAGCTGCAGTAGTGAATCTAATAATCAGTATTAATATGGTCTCCTCAGGCTCCAATTTCCTCTATTGTACCAGTCTGAATGAACCTGATGAAGGAACCTCACTTATCACACTAAATCACCAGCCGGGGATGCGACAGCCAGGCCTCAAGGCCATTTCTTATCCTCTATAAATCACACGCCATTACTGCATGTGGTCAGATTTTCGGGCTGGGTTTCTCATCTTGACTTTCTGGTGTGAAATCCAGAGATTGCTTCAAGACCCCTTATACAGTATATAACACAAGGATTTCAATTCAGATTCAGTGATCTTCTTTGATTTTTTACTTTCACACTCCAGTAACCAATAACATTAGCTATGGTTTAACAAGACTCCTCACCCCCACCACTGACCCCCCCCAGGGCATCCATTGGGGGCTCACAGAGTGACAAGTGCAGAGTCTACTCTAAGTCACATAATAGAGGGGGGGGGGGGGGGGGGGGTGAGAGGATACAGTGAGTTTATGGTTTATGAGGACATCAGCCCTTATCAGCCTGGTCAGAGCCAAGGAGGGGGAGGGTACGGGGGAATATATGAGTGGTAAACTGCACAAACAAGATGGATGGGGTTTACTCTTCCCTATAGCATGCACGGAGAGAGAGGGAGAGAGAGAGAGAGAGAGAGAGAGAGAGAGAGAGAGAGAGAGAGAGAGAGAGAGAGAGAGAGAGAGAGAGAGAGAGAGAGAGAGAGAGAGAGAGAGAGAGAGAGAAAGAGAGAGGGAGAGACAGAGAGAGACAGAGAGAGACAGAGAGAAAGAGAGAGAGAGAGAGACTCATCAAGACAGATTTAAAGTAATCCTATGATAGAGGATACCAAGAAGGGGTTAAAACAGGATTGGTCTCAATCAGAAAGGGAGTGAGTGACCACTGGGGTCAAAGATCATAGCAAGAGTGTCAATTAAATATGACATTTTTGGTTTATGAACTGACCACAAACATGGGCTATTCAATGTGGTCCCCTTGCTACCGCTTTGTACATGTTAAGAATGTAAGTTGGTCCTCACACATGAGAGGAAGTTGAGAATGGCCAGTACATCATCATATCCCACATGATCTTGTGGTCATTCTGAGAACATTTTGTCCAAATGCTGCAGAAAATATATAAGGAGAGAAAAAGGAAAGAAGGAGACATACAGTATATAATTGATTGGACTGAATTCCAAGGAGGGAAACGCTGTCAAGTTGTGCATACTAACAACGTGGTTGTGAGGCTGCAGTCTTATAAACCAGTAGTCTGGGTGTAAGAGCAGTATGCTTCAATTATTTTGATCAGATAGGTCTGTCTATCATTCCCCACAGTGTTTACCCACTGGGCTCAGACGTCAGTTCAACGTCTAGTTTTGATTTACATTTGGTTGAGTTGTCAGCTAATGTGAATTCAACATAAAAAATAAAATACAAATCTATATGTCATTGGATTTAGGTTAAAAGTTGACGTGGAAACAATGTTGATTCAACCATTTTTTGTCCAGTAGGTACCTACTGTACTGTACACCATCTGCCAACAGTGTGTTTATGTAGAATCACTGCTATTCAACTATCCACATGTGAAAATGTGTCAGAGAAAGACCGAAACCGGAACGGAGTACTACAACAGTGCTGTACAGTGTTGAAGTACTCCAGTCTGGTCTCAGCCTTTGTTAGATATCATAGCCTTCCCCTATGAATTAATGATCAAAAATCATTAACTTGTGAATATAAAATGAGCAACAGGCGATAGAAATGTGGCCTCCATACTCTACATCTCTCCAATTCAGCCTTGATACAGGCTTTAAATTGCTTCACTTGTTTCCCGACACTGCTTCCCTGTCTTTACATAAAACAAATGGAATTGGCCTTGCCTCACCATCCTGTAGCACAGGGAAACATCTCCAGTGTTTCCCCTATATTCATTAAAATACATTGTTGCCACTGCTGCAAAAAATGTGCTGTAATTTTTTTTAAAATTAATGTTCTGCCGAGACGCGCTTTTAAATGGATAGACGTTGGCTCAATGACTGGAAGTCTATGGGAACAGCTAGCATGTCATTGCGCTAACGCTAGTAGCAATCCCTGCAAAAATACTTTGCAGTTACATCAATGATATGTTGGCAAGAGGACAGATAAGACAATGAAGTATGAACCCTAAAACACAAACTGTCAAGAACTGTATTGATTATTGATTTCATTGGCACATTCATAACAACAACTGCTTTATAAGTGTAGCCCGCTACTAGGTACAGTATGGTACAGTATGGTACAGTATGGTACAGTATGGTACACATCCCACTAACTAGGCTACTGAAAATAATGCCCCTAACAGAAGGCGTAGTATCGTGATGTAATCCCATTGTAGACAGCCCAGTCAAGCTGTCACTCACTCTCTCCGGTCTCCACTTGTCACACTAATGTAATGTAAGCCGTTTATCCTGCTCTAACAGTCAACATAATGCCTTTAGGGTCACAAAGGCTATGCACACCAGCGGACCTGTATATCAATAACACCAGCACAAACATTCATTCAATCCATGCCCTGCATTCGAGTTTAATGCTAGTCTAGGCTATACATCAATCCCATAGGCCTATGCATGCTCTACAGTCAGCACTACAGTAGCTTTGCCCTAAGCCATGGCTGTAGACTCCTCTGTTGGGAAGCATCAAGACTACCAGCATGTTTGAGTTTCCTTTCTATTATATAGACTCCTCTAAAGTAATGTTTAAGGGCAACACTAAGCAATGCTATTTACAAATAGATTGATAAAATCAGATACTCTATCTATCAGTGAAGTCATGACTTGAAGTATAGAATATCATGTTTTTATTTTATTTAATTTCTTTACATATGTCTTTAATCAGATTACTAAGACCTTTTATATTATTCAATTAATGACAGATATCAAGCCTTTCAAGTTCCTGAAATGTCACTAACCAGGAATCTGAGCAACTGGTATGTGATAACATCTTTTTATGTAGGCCTATGAACCAATTTCACTGATAAAGATGTCACTGGACTGGAGTGAGGTGATCATTTAAACCTGTATACGGTCCATTCATGATTAATCTCCTATAGGGCATTAACTGTCACGTCACCATGGAGACACAGTTCTTTACTCACTTGACCTTTCTCTACTGATTATGCTCCCATTGGTTCTTACAGTTCCCACTCACACCTACAGTGAGCTCTGTACTGAAATTATACAATGACTATGAGGTTAAAGTGCAGACTGTCATCTTTAATTTGAGGGTATTTTTATCCACATCGGGTGAACCGTTTAGAAATTACAGCACTTTTTATACATAGTCCCCCCATTTTAGGGGACCAAAAGTATTGGGACGAATTCACTTATTCACTTAAGCTTAATATTTGGTCCCATATACCTAGCATGCAATGATTACATCAAGCTTGTGACTCTACAAACTTGTTGGATGCATTTGCTGTTTGCTTTGGTTGTGTTTCAGATTATTTTGTGCCCAATAGAAATGAATGGTACATAATGTATTGTGTCATTTTAGAGTTACTTTTATTGTAAATAAGATTAGAATATGTTTCTTTATTCACTTGACCTTTCTCTTGGTTCTTACTGTTCCCACTCACACATTACTCCATAACCATGTCTATTAAATGTCGGTCAGGGGGTAAATGGCTATACGGTAGATTTCTCCACAGGAGTAATTACTGATAACTGTCATGTGAACTGGGATGAACTTTCAATCCAGTAGTCACACACACGTACGCGCATGTGCACACACACATGGATGCACACACACATGGACGCACACACACATGCATGTATGCACCCGCACACAAACACACATACACACACTCCTTACTAAACAAACACTCCACATCAGTAACCCATGTGTATTGAGGTGTTGTATCGAGGTATTGAATCGAGGTAAGGAAAGATTGCCATTATAAACCCAAACATGATTAATGAGCTTTAGGCAAAAGGTCAAAGGAGGACTGAACTCTCAGAGGAAAAAGAGCTCACAGCTCAATTACTATATGACACATCTGGTCTGAGAAGATGGCAGCTAAGTGGTCTCTATAGAATAGTATAGGTTAGCAGTGACAAGCATCAGGCCCTAAACACAATACACATCTTAACCCCCACACTCACTAGTAACTATTGGTTCCTCCAACACAAATAACTGTAATCAGTAGCTAACAGTGACACATCAACAGTCGAATTGGTGCTTCAAGACAGATATACTGTAGGTGCTTAGTCCCAGACCAAGATCAGGAAGAGTTATGTCGAAGACTAATACAAAAAGGGTAAAGAAATAGAAAATTAAAAACTACAAAAATGTAGTCTAATGCATCATGCATGTATAGAATAGAAAATAAAAACATAATTTGTCCAAGAAGGGCCTTCAGTATGCTATGAATATATTGGAAATTACAGTGCAATGAATCCCAGAGAGGCGTCAATGCCATTTACATTGGCCGGCTAAACCTATGAGACAAACAATAAACAGATTAATCTATGTCGAGGCTTCCAAGTGCCTAGCCCCATTCATTACATTATTGGATTAAAGGGAATGAATCCAACATTAGACCAAAGATTAACTTCGCCTCAACCACAGAGAGAAAAAACGCTTTAACAGAATAATAAAATAAGCCACGAGCATTCTGCTTAATTATATTTGGTCCTTCAGAGGGGTTACATTAATTCATATCCATATCCATAACCTGTAACATCATATTGAGTCATTATCCTGGACCTGAAAATAACCAGGATACAAAATAGAGTGGAAAAACATCTGCTGTGGCCTCCTCTTTCCTTTTTGAAGGACTGTGTCGTGACAGTGTTGTTGTTCTATGTATGTATTTATGTGTGTGTGTGTGTGTGTGAGTGTGCGTGTCTGCGTGCACGTGTGCGTGTGCCTTCGTGCGTGCGTGTTCGTATGTGAGCGCACTTGTTCATGTGTGTTTGTGTGTGTGTGCATATGAGGTTGCGTGCGTGTTTGTGAGAAAACAAACCTACTTAGCGGCCCGTGTCGCTACCATCCTCTCAAACAGGCCTTCCCATCCGACTGTCCGATAAATCCTTCTCTCCATTGTCGGTCTCACAAATGAGCGCAGCAATGGAGGCATGGAGGCAATCAGAGGAGAGAAGCTCTCAGTCAGAGAGGCGGAGGAGTAAAGTCTAATTCCCTGACGGAGAGGAGCAGGACGGTAGCAATGCAAATACCCTGCCATTGAAGACGCCTCCCCGCAGCGCAGAGAGAGTAGCTCCGCCGAGGGGTCGTTGCTACACACACACACACACACAGATGGAGAGGCAGAGGCACACACACATGCATGCACATACACACACACACACACACAGCGGACAGGGGACAGGGGAAGGTCTAATCTTTTAAGCCCCCCTCCCGTCTCACTCACTCTCAGACAGACACACACATTCTCTCTCTATAGTCATAACCCTGGCTGGAGGCCAGACCTTGAGACCTTGAGAGACAGCACCTCAAGTGCAGAAATTCCTTTTCAATTTGTTCCTCTTCCTCCCCCTCCTTCTCCTCTTCCTCCTCCTCCTCATCATCATCATCATGCTCGCTGTGACACAAGCCCATGGGGATATTGTTTGGACTGAAGATGATACTTGAGTGTAAGTATAATGGCAAGAGTATTAGACTTGAATGATAAAACAATTATATATGTTTTGCCGGAAGAACAAGCCTCAGCATCTTGTAAACATCCTTACCACACTAAACATGAGGGGATAGGATGTGAAAGATGATTTAATTAATATGTGTATGTCACTAAAGCACTGCCATTAATCCTTTCTCTCTGGGTTGTTCTGATTCAATACCTACATAGTCTGTCAAACACATTCAGTGGTGCCATGTTTTCTTTAGTGGTAAAGTATTCCCTTCATCCCATACCCGTTATCTTTCGGGAGAGTGTGCCCCAATTTGTAGTTCCTATTCTGAGTTGCTCTTACAACTCTCAGTGAAAAGATACTTAAGTGGGGAACGAAACTGTGAAGCTGGCTCTATTATTTATTCATGAATGAGCTCCGCTAAGTTTTTAATTTCACAAATATTAGATGAAGATAGACTTAAATTGAATACAAGATGTTGAAGTCCGGAATCCCAAACTAATTAGATGTAGCCTTTGGACTCCATTGGGGACATAATCCAGTCACCATTTACGACAAAGTGCTGAGCAAGAGCTGCAAGGATTTGTAAGACAATAGATAAGTCGATTTTGGGCGGGGTTTGAGTCCACATTACTAATGTCTCTTCAACATAGCCGCCATGTCTGGAGTGCCATGAGTCTGGCAAGCGAGACTAGCATTACTACAGTACTGGATGCATTACTCCTTGCAATTCATTTGGTCTTTTGAGATGTAATACATCACCAGATACCTCTGACAGGGTGATAAATAGTGCAATCAGTCTAAAGATAAGAACTCGCCTTGTGTTCTGAGACAATACATGCACACACACAGAAAGAGAGACCAGAGAAACACAAACGGGACTTGGGATTGATTGGATTTATCGGATTTCATGGTCTGCGTAATCATACAGAAAACAATGTTGTTTCTCTCTGTGTGTCCCATCTCCATCTATCTTAACTGGACACACACACAACCACACACAAACACACACACACACACATACACACACACACACATCATCCCTCTTCACTGGGCAATTTATGCCCTGCCGACCACGGCAACACTGTGAGATGAGGGAATTGACCTTAATTGAGCTAAGCTCATTCCAGAAGCCTTAAAACATGTCGGGAAGGAATCACAGTGACACAGACCGTACTGCAATGGTTTGGAGACAGAGGAGAGAAAAATTAGTGCTTGTTATTCATGTTGCATTGTATAAGTAAATTAACCACAGTATTGTCATTAGTCATCCACCCTAAAAAAAATAAGTAACCAGACATAATTTAATAATTGGGACATTTCAACAGTTACAGTAGCTTGCGAAATTATTCACCCCCCTTGGCATTTTTCCAATTTTTTAGCCTTACAACCTGGAATTAAAATGAATTTTTGGGGGGGTTGTATCATTTGATTTACACAACATGCCTACCACTTTGAAGATGCAAAATATTTTTTCTTGTGAAACAAACAACAAATAAGACACAAAAACAGAAAACTTGAGTGTGCATAACTATTCACCAACCCCCCCCCCACCCCCCCCCCCCCCCCCCCCCCCCAAAGTGAATACTTTGTAGAGCTACCTTTTGCAGCAATTACAGCTGCAAATCTCTTGGGGTATGTCTGGGATCTTTGCCCATTCTTCATGGCAAAATTGCTCCAGCTCCAGGTGTACAGCAATCTTTAAGTCATACCACAGATTCTCAATTGGATTGAGGTCTGGGCTTTGACTAGGCCTCCAAGACATTTAAATGTTTCCCCTTAAACCACTTGAGTGTTGCTTTAGCTGTATGCTTAGGGTCATTGTCCTGCTGGAAGGTTAACCTCCATCCCAGGCTCAAATCTCTGGAAGACTGAAACAGGTTTCCCTCAAGATTTTCCCTATATTTAGCGGCATCCATCATTCCTTCAATTCTGACCAGTTTCCCAGTCCCTGCCGATTAAAAACATTCCCACAGCATGATGCTGCCACCACCATGCTTCACTGTGGGGATGGTGTTCTCGGGTGATGAGAGGTGTTGGGTTTGCGCCAGACATAGCGTTTTCATTGATGGCCAAAACGCTCAATTTTAATCTCATCTGACCAGAGTACCTTCTTCTATGTTTGGGGAGTCTCCCACATGCCTTTTGGTGAACACCAAACGTGTTTGCTTATTTATTTTTTTAAGCAATGGCTTTTTTTCTGGCCACTCTTCCGTAAAGCCCAACTCTTTGCAGTGTATGGCTTAAAGTGGTCCTATGGATAGATCCTCCAATCTCTGCTGTGGAGCTTTGCAGCTCCTTCAGGGTTATCTTTGGTCTCTTTGTTGTTGCTTCTCTGATTAATGCCCTCCTTGTCTGGTCCGTGAGTTTTGGTGGGCGGCCCTCTCTTGGCAGGTTTGTTGTGGTGCCATATTCTTTCAATTTTTTTTATAATGGATTTAATGGTGCTCCGTGGGATATTTTTTTATAACCCAACCCTGATCTTTACTTCTCTACAACTTTGTCCCTGACCTGTTTGGAGAGCTCCTTGGTCTTCATGGTGCCGCTTGCTTGGTGGTGCCCCTTGCTTAGTGGTGTTGCAGACTCTGGGGCCTTTCAGAACAGGTGTATATATACTGAGATCATGTGACAGATCATGTGACACTTAGATTGCACACAAGTGATTTAACTTTATTTAACTAATTATGTGACTTCTTAAGGTAATTGGTTGCACCAGATCTTATTTAGGGGCTTCATAGCAAAGGGGGTGAATACATATGCACACACCACTTTTCCGTTATTTATTTTTTTGAATTTTTGAAACAAGTAATTTTTTTCATTTCACTTCACCAATTTTGACTATTTTGTGTATGTCCATTACATGAAATCCAAATAAAAATTAATTTAAATTACAGATTGTAATGCAACAAAATTGGAAAAACGCCAAGGGGGATGAATACTTTTACAAGGCACTGTATCTTACTGGTCTCTCTAGGGAACAGGAAAATGCAACTCAGTAAAAGTGCATCAGTCAAAGCCACCAACTAATATCTAATATCTCTAGTCCACTAAATATCATACTTGAAAAGCTAATGAGGACAAGAAGAGAGTCAAGGGTGTTCCCTGAGACTACATAGTGAAGGCTCATGTTCTTTTAGCCAGGTTCCGATTAGTGGCCATTACACATTCTAAGACTGTTCTTTTAACTACGCAGGGTCCCATTCAAAAACAAAGGCTGCCATGCTGGCTAATCAAAGTCCCAAATCCTCCAACGCAACACCCTTTCTCTATGCAAAGCACATACCGGTACTGTTGTACCATAATAGCTGAGCATTGGGTTTGTGTTGTGTGTAGTGTATGTTGCGCACACACACACACACACACACACACACACACACACACACACACACACACACATACACACACACATGCACACACACACACCCGCATATGCACGCACACACACACACACACACACACACACACACACACACACACACACACACACACACAGCTCTGAGGTAGTTCTCCTCTATGTGATTTACTCCAGTCTTCTGACTCAGCACTATAGTCTTTACACTGAACACATTTACATGCACACACATACACATACATACACACATGCAAACACACAACCACGAACACTGATAGGAATACAAGAGGATCATGAGAATATGCTGAATGGGCAACCGAGAGTCCGACATTCTCTATCGACCCCACCCATCTAACCACAAGAGCTGCTCAAACATCAGGTTATGTAGTCATGAATAAAGCTACTGTACATGTACAACATTGACAGTATATTTTGTATGGAAGCTGTCTTAGCCTAATTGTAGATGCCAAGAAAATGCTGAGGCTAACATTCTGCATTCTTATGTGTCTCACCTGGAGGCTCTTGGTAAGACTACTGGACATGATGAGAGCTCCAAACCACAAGGTACAACACAGAACTACAGAGGAGCTACAGATTCTCCAGAGGGGATTACAACACCGAGGTTATTAGAGTCTGCACAGCATGTAGCCTCCTGAGTGGCGCAGTGGTCTAAGGCATTGCATCGCAGTGCTAGCTGTGCCACTAGAGATCCTGGTTCGAATCCAGGCTCTGTTGTAGCCGGCTGCGACCGGGAGACCCATAGGGCGGCGCACAATTGGTCCAGGGTAGGGGAGGGAATGGCCGGCAGGGATGTAGCTCAGTTGGTAGAGCATGGCGTTTGCAATGCCAGGGTTGTGGGTTTGATTCCAATGGGGGGAATAATGTATGCACTAACTGTAAGTCGCTCTGGATAAGAGCGTCTGCTAAATGACTAAAAAATTTAATGTTCTGTCTCTTCAGCTGTGTAACCTACACTTGATTGTGTTTTCCTCTTCAATCTATCTTTCTAAAGTAGACTAACCAACCAAATGCAACCAGATTGAACTGACTTTTACTTTACTGTTACCACTTGGGGGTGGCAGAGTGTGTGTGTGTGTGTGTGTGTGTGTGTGTGTGCGCGCGTGTGTGCGTGTGTGTCTGTACGTGAAGGCGAAGCATACTGGGGATCTCTAATTCTAACTATAAAGTCAAGTTACTATCAGGTCAAGAACCACATTGCCCCAAACACTTGCCTCCATCCGTTAATCCTTAAGAGTCTAAACTGGGGGGGTTCTAGTAAGCTAACATATGGAATTGTTTTAAGATGGTCATACCAAGGATCGATCATTTAGCTATTTGATTTTGAATTTTAGGACCCCTTTAGGTCAAACAAATATATATACAAAAATACATGTGGCCTTACTGCTATTAGCCCATAGAAACACATTGAATAACACATTCATACATGGAAAGACAGATACTCCAAATATTTTTATCAAAAGGAAATTTGTTTTAAAGTGTCTGTCCTGTATCTGAGAGATACAATAAAGATCAGGATTATTATTATGTATCCATATATATACAGTACCAGTCAAAAGTTTGGACACACCTACTCATTCCAGGGTTTTTCTACATTGTAG